TGTAGCAATACACATTGCGGTGGCACTAGAGACAACACTACGGAGGTAGCGTAAACACAACTATAGCTAAATGCCACCCAAAGAAGACAACTACAGCTACAACTACAACTACGGTAACATACTATACAGCGTGAGTGCAGCGGAACTGTAAAACTTTTATTAATCAATTGACCGCCTCCGTGGTGTAGTTGTTAGAGCGTCCGCCCGGAGCGGAAGGTCCCGGGTTTGATCCCCGACCGCGTCATACCAAAAGACGTTAAAATATGGTACTTGTTGGTCCCTGCCTGCGCTCGGCATTAATGGGTACAACAAAGACTGGTCGGCTCAGAGTCAGTATAATGTGTCTGAGTGGGGTATTCATGCTTCACTGCGGCATGGTATCTCAGTGGGCTAGCACTATTAAACCAGCTTCAATCTGGGCTAGTACAAGCAGCCACACATACACATACACACGCATGCACGTCGTCATATGAGCGAAATATTCTCAAGCACGACGTTAAACCCAATTTCACCTCACCTCTATTAATCAATTAAATGTTCTTACTATTTACATAAGGGGCGGTGCGGTAGCCTTGTGGTTAAGGTGTTCGCTCGTTACGCCGAAGACCCGGGTTCGATTCCCCAATTGGGCACAATGTGTGAAGGCCATTTCTGGTGTCCCCCGCCGTGATATTGCTGGAATATTGCTAAAAGCGGCGTAAAACTACACTGACTCACTCACTCTCACAACATAAAACAATGTCCCACTCCAACAACAAATCTGATAACCGGAAACCTACGCATGTGTTCACAAACGACATGGGTTTCTTCGATGCTGGAGAGATGTGTTATGCTGTGATGTGACATGCGACCTCAGTCAGTGGGACTGTTGCCACTACTCGATTGTCGATGGTAATAAGATATTCGATTTCTCACTGTATTTATCGGCAGTCCCATCAATCAGGCAACACTGACAGTTCCTATAATAGATGCTACTATTTGATGTTCTCACCTTGGGCTGACCCCACTTTGTTGACGACAAACTGTCCTTTAGCCGCTTCTTGTTGGCTTGTCCACTCAGCTGGTCAAGCAAAACGATCGCCGATCATCTGTGCGAAACTGAGTTTCTGACAAAGGAGGAAACTTATATTCATGAAAACATATTTTTTTAAGTTTCGAAAACACAAAATCTAAACAACTTGTCCATTGGGCGTGAATATTTTTTTTACTCAAAACTCTTGTTTTTTAGTTTGCAATTCAATGAAATTGTGTCTACATGTATCCTGACATAAGTCAACCTATGTAACGTAATTCAGCGAAGATATAGCGTTATTGGGATACCTCGACTATGGCTAACGAATTTCCTTTGTTCAAAACATGGGACGCGTGTCTACAAGTATCACGACGCACAATTGAACTTATTTTAACTTAATTCGGGTAATTCATAGCGTTATTAAAATATCTCTCCCATGGGAAAAACATTTAGCAGAACGCTCCTGATTCTGTTGATATGAAGAACGAACAGAAACCGTTATTTCAGTTACACGATTTCTTTCCACCATAGTAAGGGGTGCATGATCACATTGGGTATGTGGGTCAGAGTGTGCGTGTATGTGTTGCCTATGTGGACATTAGGGCTTCATCAACTCCCTGAACTGAAAATATGTACAGAAAAAGACAATTATTGAATTATCTTCATAACATTTGTAAAAAAGGAACATATATTCTCTACATTTACCAAAACTATAGTAATTTAGTCAGGCTAATCATAATAGTGAGAGGTGAGTTCTAGTTTTAGCAATATTCCAGCAATATCAAGGCTGGTGACAAAAGAAAATGACCATGAGTAGAATCGAAACCGGGTCTTCGGCATGACGAGCAAACGCTTTTATCACTGCGCTACCCAACCGCCCCTATAGTATTGCATGAGTTGCATGTATTTATATGACAGACTGGGCTTCTGGGTGTAAGCTGGTGGTAGGAAATGGTCAGATTTCTGCTTTAATTAATGAACTTGAGAGAACTCCCATCTGCTTCAGACATGTCTGTCTCTCTGGCCAAGTGGTCCTATGCTCACACAGTGCACAGGCAACCAGTAGCGCAAATAGGGTTGCGCAACAAAGAGAAAATGACCGGTCTTCCTATGTGTTCGCGCGCATAGAGGAAGACTTGTCCTTTTCTCTTTGTTGCGCAACCCTATTTGCGCCACAGTTTGCCTGTGCTCAGTGACATCGGCCGGCTAGTCCACGACCCTTCCACATACTGCAGTCTGGCGTGATTTTACGGAGATACGATACCCTAGTTCTTTGATATCTATTCATTACGGAGAGCAGTTGGTTACCACCACCGATGATTCTGAGATGAATTACGGTTCCCCCCGTGCCCGTGGTACTCTTTGAACACATATATGGAAGATCTAGCGGTAACTCTGAACTAACAATCCAACAATGCAGACCCACTAAGCTCGGTATCGGTGTTAAGTATGATATAAGACGCTTCAAATCGCACCTGCTTTGATGTCTGCAGCCACGTGCATCCAACAATGGCGGAGCATGACAGCTGCCGAGATACCAAAGCAAGGACGAGCAGTTAATGTCGCAAGTCAAACCCAGAGTAAACACACCCGGTTATGGGAAAAGTTCAGCGTTTGCAATGTCTTTGAATGCAAACGAGAACTGGATAGTTTTCTAAACAGTAAATAACGCTGGCTGACCCGGGTGCAGGGAGACATGTAGTCTGGATGATTTGGCATGCATGACAAGGGGTAGTTTTGAAGAGTCCTTTGTGAGGAAGTCGTGTGAGGTTTATTGCCACCTTATAACAGTATTTCAGAAACTCCCAGGTTGCATTTTTATGTTGGAAAAATGAGAAGCCTTAGATGGTGCAAGCTTTGTAAACCCCCGAGACCGAGTATTTACTCCAGAGCCAAAGTTCAGAGTCTAGCTGAATCTGACATTAGTTTCCAGCACCTGAAGGTAAGGCGGGGGTCCGTTTGCCTCCGATAACAAGAAAGGCACAATCACCGTTGTCTCGATCTGCCTTATGACGTGTATGTAAAGTTCAAAATATATGTTAGTCTGACTTTTTTTTACAAAAAACGGTTAACCAAACGCACCCGAAACATTAATATGGACTGGACATAAGCACCAGGACCAGCTTAGATATTCTCTGTTACTTTGTAGTACTTAACAAACCATAGTGCTAATTCCACGTATACAAGATGGTATTCGAAAAGAACATATTTCAGAGTTGTCAGCATTAGGTCAAAGGTCCTACAATGTTTTGTCGCCATTTTATAAAGTCACAATCTGTACTCATGAGAGGAGTCGAACCCTTGTCTCTTGCACTTACGAGTGGAGGCATCACCCACTAGACTAACAATAACCAATACTGTGTTAACATCCAAGCAATCTGGTTGAGCTTGTCTCCTCTACATGGCCTCCATATGTAGAATCAAGAAAGTTCAGTTCTTCTCGATGTGAGTGAATCATACCCCAATGTCAAGGCCAAGCTTACGAAATTGAGCCAATGCGTGATCGTGTCAGGGAAAGTAGGTACATCAAAAACAGACAGGTGGCGCAAACCCAGAAACTGATAATGTTTCCCCCACAACTGGTGCTCTGACATTTCCGAAAGATCGACTAGCGGACGCGAATGTTGCACAACACTTGTCCTAGACACCGTTTGCTCTCTGCTCCATATACCTGCATCCTGACCCTGTGTTTTCCAACAAACGTACATATGCTAGAACGCGCTCAATCTGCCTGATACATATCGTCTACAGACACCACCTGGGACCAGTTGTTGGGGAAATATCGCAGGAAGATTGATCTTTTACCAACGTCTGCTTGAAAGAGGTCATATCAACATGGCTACCCCAGGTGCATGGCGGGACGTCTGGGTCGGCGTGTTCGTTAGGATAAACCGGTATAGCATTGTGCTGTTGAACTGTCATCGCAGTACACTATACATTGTTACATCTGGTCGAGAGACTGGGAATCGAGATAATGGGAAAACATCCCCCAATTAACAATATTTGTGAAGATATTCAACACGTGCGCAGCCTCGTTCCTGTGTATGTAACACAACGCATAACAGATTTACACCCAATCAGCTGCATTTCAGACCTGCCCAAACAACATCTGATCGTCATCTTACAACAGTTGATGGTATTTTTCTTCTCTCTATAACACGCCCACCGAGATCTTCCCTTAGGTTGGAATACTGACCAAGTGAGGATGGAAAGGAAACGGCAACACCACGACCACAGTATTACAACAACACAGCAATATCTCATCACTGTAGCTGACAACACAGCAATATTTCATCACTGTAGCTGACAACACAGCAATATCTCATCACTGTAGCTGACAACACGGCAATATCACATCACTGTAGCTGACAACACAGCAATATCTCATCACTGTAGCTGACAACACAGCAATATCTCATCACTGTAGCTGACAACACATCAATATCTCATCACTGTAGCTGACAACACGGCAATATCTCATCACTGTAGCTGACAACACAGCAATATCTCATCACTGTAGCTGACAACACAGCAATATCTCATCACTGTAGCTGACAACACAGCAATATCTCATCACTGTAGCTGACAACACAGCAATATCTCATCACTGTAGCTGACAACACAGCAATATCTCATCACTGTAGCTGACAACACAGCAATATCTCATCACTGTAGCTGACAACACAGCAATATCTCATCACTGTAGCTGACAACACAGCAATATCAGTAGCTGACAACACAGCAATATCTCATCACTGTAGCTGACAACACAGCAATATCTCATCACTGTAGCTGACAACACAGCAATATCTCATCACTGTAGCTGACAACACAGCAATATCTCATCACTGTAGCTGACAACACAGCAATATCTCATCACTGTAGCTGACAACACAGCAATATCTCATCACTGTAGCTGACAACACAGCAATATCTCATCACTGTAGCTGACAACACAGCAATATCTCATCACTGTAGCTGACAACACATCAATGTCTCATCACTGTGGCTGACACAGTAGCTGACAACACAGCAATATCTCATCACTGTAGCTGACAACACAGCAATATCTCATCACTGTAGCTGACAACACAGCAATATCTCATCACTGTAGCTGACAACACAGCAATATCTCATCACTGTAGCTGACAACACAGCAATATCTCATCACTGTAGCTGACAACACAGCAATATCTCATCACTGTAGCTGACAACACAGCAATATCTCATCACTGTAGCTGACAACACAGCAATATCTCATCACTGTAGCTGACAACACAGCAATATCTCATCACTGTAGCTGACAACACAGCAATATCTCATCACTGTAGCTGACAACACAGCAATATCTCATCACTGTAGCTGACAACACAGCAATATCTCATCACTGTAGCTGACAACATGACAATATCATCATCACTGTAGCTGATCAACACAGCAATATCTCATCACTGTAGCTGACAACACAGCAATATCTCATCACTGTAGCTGACAAAACAGCAATATCTCATCACTGTAGCTGACAACACAGCAATATCTCATCACTGTAGCCGACAAACAGCAATATCTCATCACTGTAGCTGACAACACAGCAATATCTCATCACAGTAGCTGACAACACAGCAATATCTCATCACTGTAGCTGACAACACAGCAATATCTCATCACTTTAGCTGACAACATAGCAATATCTCATCACTTTAGCTGACAACACAGCAATATCTCATCACTGTAGCTGACAACACAGGAGTATAGGAGTACACATCAACCACGAAAAAACAACACAATATCAAATCACGTTAGCAACCCCACGACAATTACAACAGCAATATCTCATCCATGTTGTTTACAACACAGGACTATCACATCAAACGAGGCAACATCATGAAATAACAACACAGAAATATCACATCACATGAACAACACATCGACAATAACAACACAGAAATATCACATCACTTGAACAACACATCAACGATAACAACACAGAAATATCACATCACTTGAAAAACATATCGACAATAACAACACAGAAATATCACATCACTTGAACAACACATCGACAATAACAACACTGACATATCACATCACTTGAACAACACATCGACAATAACAACACAGCAATATCACATCACTTAAACAACACATCGACAATAACAACACAGAAATATCACATCACTTAAACAACACATCGACAATAACAACACAGAAATATCTCATCACTTGAACAACACATCGACAATAACAACACAGAAATATCACATCACATGAACAACACATCGACAATAACAACACAGAAATATCACATCACTTGAACAACACATCGACAATAACAACACAGAAATATCACATCACTTGAACAACACATCGACAATAACAACACAGAAATATCACATCACTTGAACAACACATCGACAATAACAACACAGAAATATCACATCACTTGAACAACACATCGACAATAACAACACAGAAATATCACATCACTTAAACAACACATCGACAATAACAACACAGAAATATCACATCACTTGAACAACACATCGACAATAACAACACAGAAATATCACATCACTTGAACAACACATCGACAATAACAACACAGAAATATCACATCACTTGAACAACACATCGACAATAACAACACAGAAATATCACATCACTTGAACAACACATCGACAATAACAACACAGCAATATCACATCACTTGAACAACACATCGACAATAACAACACAGAAATATCACATATCTTTAGCTAAAAACATGGCAATAACACATCAACCATTGATCGGTGTTATTTAATAGCAATAAAGAAAGGCAATAAAGAAAGAGAGGCATCATGACTGGGATCTATAGAATAATCGTCCAAGACAATGTAGCAATTGGCATCATTTGTGCAAGATTTGCAATTTTACTGTAAAAACAGGGATATAGCTGCTGCTTCACGGGGTGTCTGGCCTTGAGTACAGACATGGGGTAGCGTATATTCTGGTATTGGGGATATTAACTAGTCTTGAAATATTTAATCAACGACACAAAAGCCTGTGGTAGAGACTTGTTGATTTCACTCTAAGCACTTTTCAAAAATACACTTCTCGCAGAAGTAGTATCATGGCCCGTCTCTGGAAAACTAGGAGGTCATTGTTATATGCAGTCTAAACACTCAAACCTGGAACTAATCTCACGAGAGACATTTAGATGTGTACATTTCTCAATGTGTAAACAGGCGTTTACTGAGCATGACAACGCTGACGTGAGGTCCGCTGTTAATCATATTCTGTACTTTCTGCTAAATAAGGGGGAATATATAGGACAACATATGACAGGCAGACATACACGTAGAACGGATGCTGTTCTGATACCGCGGGCGGTGGGTTGGTTTTGTGGTTGAAGCGGTGGCTTGTCACGCCCAGGGCGCAGGTTCGAGTCCTCCAATGCAACATAAAAGCCCATTCCCGTGCAATAAACGAAAAAGCTACTAGAAAGTCTCGCTTGCTGGAAAGAAATTTTTGTTTACGTATTATACTAATTCTTAGAACTATTTTTTCAGGTTTGACTCATGGGCGGACGTATAAGATGTGGTCTGCGGGTGAGCTGGCTTCCCATGCAGTTAAGAAATTTGTTGAAGAAAGAAGCACGTTGTTACTGGACAGGCAGGTGCAAGGATACAATGACACGTTCGATATATTCACCGCTGCGCCACTCCGAGGTGGGGTGGGGCGGACATCGTCAAGAATCTTCGCTGATGGTAAACATTCAAAGGTATAACATCACTATGAACCATGCAATCTTCTGTACAGAGCGACAGTAACACTACACAATCTTAACTCCCATACTGTAACATAGACACATAACAGCCTTCGAAATTCACGTTAGGCAGTTAGCATGACTACTTTTTGTGTGGCCTAAGTGTTGACTTAAATCCTGTTATCAAGCCTCATGTAAGAATGTCGAGTTTTGATTGGTTCACGTGACTCTGATAAAATACCTTGTTGGTTCATGCAGGAAGCTGGAGTACTGTAAGTTCCCCATGATCCTCATTGAGGTGGCCCAGCCTTAGTTGCTGGTGCTACATAACTCGTGTTTTAATAGTATTAAATTTTCTATAATAATTGACGTATGTGTTGAGTAATATAGTTTGATAACTGAAATTGTTCGTTTCACCTAAACGGTGATTCTTAATTACTTTTTCACTGTCCTTTGATGCCAGACATATAGTCTTTTTACCCTGTTCTCATTGCGATGTGGCTGCAATATTGCCGATGCGATGTGAAATTTTAACTCACTCATTCACTAATTCTTGCTAAGGACAAGTGAAAAATCCGATGATGGTACTCTTTGACGAGAGATTTTGAGTGCTATATTTGATGCAATTTTGATGTATTTTAAGACACCGGGTCCCAGTCCACAAAGCGTTCGTAGCGTTACGACCTGTCGTAACTCTGTAGTTTATCGTAGGCTTACGAATGTCGTAGCGCAACGAACATTTTGTGGATTGGGACCCAGTGAACTAAGTCTATAACGAACGAACTTATAACGAACTAACGGATAAAACGAATTGTTGGTCCCAGCTATTTGCTGTGTATTTTGGTCGAAACGGTTATAACGCACTGCGGATATAGCGAACTAAACTCGGTACCTTTGAGTTCGTGATAACCGTAGTTTAGTGCTGTGAACAATTTTGTGTTGTTTAAGCAGGATTAGCTACAAACTCTAAGGACTGGTGAAACATTGTTTACAGTTATCCTCTGGATAGCTCCAAAGGCTGTATGGCATCCGTGTGGATGCACAATCCAGCTAATGCTCTTCCGGAGCGTGAAGATCCGGGTTAGAATTGATCATCAGCAACCCATGCTTGTCGTAAGAGGCGACTAACGGGATCGGGTGGTCAGGCTCGCTGGCTTGGTTGACACATGCCATCGGTTCCCAATTACGTAGATCGATGCTCATGCTATTGAACACTGGATTGTCTGGTCCAGACTCGATTATTTACAGACCACTGCCATATAGCCGGAATATTGCTGAGTGCGGCGTAAAACTAAACACACTCACTCACTAATGCTCTTCCGTTGTAATAATAACCATCGTTGTCGCTACAAGATTATTGCATACCTATAGCCACGAGCGAGCGTTAGTGCCAGCCTACTGAGATACCATCCCTGAGGTTTAACGTAATAGACGTAGTATCAGACATAGTATACTTTCCTTGAGCCAGTCCTTGAGTGCCAGCCAGGGTAACAACAAGTACAGCCTTTTAACCACTGTAATATGAGGTACACACCTCCTTCATCTGCTGCATGAAAGCTAGCAAGCAGAAAGTAGTATGTCTCACAGTCCCTGAACCACATTATTTCCCCGACTGCTTAGACCTTTCTGCAATGCAAAAGCCCTAAATGAAGCAAGTCTAGATTCCCAGCTGACTGGGCCTCCTTTTCAATTTAAAATAAAAATACTGTATATTCAGAGACTATGCGTTAGTCTAAACAGTATATTCTTACTCCTTCATCAGCTGCATAAAGGTTAGGATGCAGAGAGATATAGAAGTACATTTGGAAAAAAGGTTGAAAGACAAAGTGACGAAGGTGGACACTTCTCGTGGGATGACAGTAGCTAATTGGCGCTTTTAAACATTTTCCCATTTATGTGTATCACTTCTAAACGCCATCCAAAGATGTTTGAGTAGCACCGTTTGACTCGTGCTCTATGCATATTACAGATATCCTTCCTGGTGAAGATCATCCCGAGTCCTGACTGGTTTGTCGGCGTGGATGGACTCGATCTGTGCCGCAATGGCCGCTGGAGGAGGAAGGTGTACGCCCATCTCCGCCCAATGGACGCCGGAACTGACAAAGGTCTCACCTACACGTCCCCAAACTGGCCCTCACACCCGCCACAGAGGATATTCGAGATTACACCCAGCTACCCCGACCACCCAGCTAGTTCCTTCTTCTACCCTGACAGGAATAGGCTACCCCGGATAGCTCATGCGATTCTGGAGAAGGTCACGGAATACCAGCAACAAGGCCGGGCCACGGATGTTAAGTACAACTCCATGCCTAGTATGGTTGTTGAGAGGCAGCCACATGAACTGTCCCACAAATCCTGGGCGCCGAAAGAGGCGGGCGCAGAGGAGATCGCCATCAACACCAAGATCGATCAGGCTCTGAAGGAGAAGTTAGAGAAAGATATCCAGAACAGGCTGAAGACATCACCAAGGCGTACCTTCTTCCTTCAGAGGATGGTGAGAAAGGGAGGACATGTCCTGGCTGATCAGAGCTCGGAAGAAGTTGATGAAGAGGTTGATGAACAGGGGCCTCACGTTGGAACAAGGCATGGAGATACTGAGGTGAAGGCTGAGGAGTCTTATCTCACAAGGAGAGATCCATATGTCGATGTCTCAACGACGTCGGAAACTCCACCAACACCAGCTGAAACAACTACGCAGACGTACCGTCTAGTTGGTAATGTTAATTCACTGACAAGGGAGCATGGGCTTGAGACGGTAAGAAACACAATGGAAGAGGAAGAGGACAACGACTCTGAAGAAGCTGCTAAGTCTGAACTGATGCTGCAGCCGACGTATCTGATGTCGAAAGGGTCAGACGAAGGAGGAGATGATGTCAGCGTTGAACAAGACAGTCAGAAAATGGGCAGTGTAATAGGTGAAGAATCTGAAGAACCTAATAGTGACACACAAGACGCCAGTGCCCAGATCCATGAGAAAAGACATCAGTATTATACCGGAAGTCCGATAGAGCAAAATTCAGATCGGGGTCACTCTTACAATATTGATCAAGATGTTGATGAAAGGTCGACAGCGAGACCTATTGTTTATGATCATACCATCGATACGCAGGTTGAAGAAGACGTTGATAAAGACGAGGACGTTGTCCCGGACTACGCCGCAGCATACTCGGCCGGAAGGGTTAAGGCGGGCGCCACACAGGGTTACCGGGACGACAAACACATCGAAGACGTGGACGTCATCCAGAGCAGTCAAACTGAAAAACCCTACAGGCAACAACGTCCATACACTCGGACACCACTAGTTAACAGGCAGGTGGACAGCGACGTTGACAACAACTCTCCTACCTATGTCCGTGGCGGCGCCAATGACGTCGAGAAAGATACGTGGGGTGAAAGTCGTGGTGACAACGTCGAGAAAGAGACGGACCAGAGCAAGGCTTTAGAAACACTGGGCATCTTCCGGCCAAACTCTCCATTGAGGGGCAGGAAAACAGATGGTGAGTCTATCTCATCCAATGTATTTGTCAAATATTTTGTCATATTCAATATAACTCTGCCTTACAATGTCATGTATGTCGGTATAGCTTGGGATAATATCAATGTAATCAAAAGTAGATGTTTTACTTCGATACAAATGAATGCACCCGTGAAGGTCCGGGTTAGAACTGGTCCTCAGTAACCCATGCTTGTCGTAAGAGGCGACTAACGGGATCAGGTAGTCAGGCTCGCTCACTTGGTTGACACATGTATCCAAATTGCGTAGATCGATGTTCATGCTGTTGATCACCGGATTGTATGGTCCAGATTCGATTATTTACAGATCGCCAACATATAACAGTAATATTGTTGAGTGCGGCGTTAAAGAACCAACAAAATCGAAAAAAATAAACAGAAAAATCGATTCAGTGCCTCTCTGCCTGAAGATCTATGGACATGTCGCGTAACCATGGTAATTCAACCAAAAACACAACTGCCTTCATATTCGTATCTCTGTCACAAGGACAGTTCCAAAATGAAAATAAATAAAACAACATAAAAGCAATAAATTAATACAAATGAAACTTATGTTATCCAGGTTTTTATGTTAAAGGTCCTCAGTATGACTAAAGCCAGTTATATAACGATAGACTTAGCTATTTGCAAACTGAACACGCTAAACGCACTAATCACTACACCAACATTGAGTGAGGTGTATCATACCATATTGACAGGGAATTGTGATGTCCTCATGATATTCCTCAGAGGGGAGGTAGCAGCTTCAAGGTACAAGTGTACAGATCTGAGTTCGATTCCAAATACACGTATTGGTACAGTGAAGTCGATCCTCTGTATGACTTGAATATGGAGTTAAACCTTACTGAATGAATGTTATAATCATGTGTTTTTATCTTTCAGAACAATTAGACTGTTTGGTCACTGAATGGTCACCTTGGAGCTCGTGCAGTTTAACCTGTGGGTTTGGCGTTAGTACAAGGACGCGTCAGGTGACACAGCACGCTCGCAATGGCGGCTTGAACTGTCCAAGGCTTAGCGTTGAAAAAATATGTGGCAGCATGAGAACGTGTAAATGGAACTATTTCAACAGCTTGTTCAACAAGAACCGAGGCCTACGTCGACGGCGGAGAAGAAGGAGACACCATCGTGGCTGAAGACACGTAAGCAAGATCTGAACGAGAGCTGGTTATGATTACCATGGAAACCGTAGTTTCCATCTTTGGTATGCGCGACGTCGTGTTCAGCGTTGTTGACGTAACAAACGTGTCAAAGTTCACAGGAACACTGAGACATCTGAAGGAGCGAGGAAGCTGATGCGGTGCCGGAGCGACATCCGCATGTAGAATAGAAGCATTCTGTTTCACATCACAAGACAAGCCATCTTCATTTTCACCGGAAGACGAGGAAGTTCACTTCCGGTTGTTGTACTTCCGGTTGCTTCTTGGAAACACGTGTCATCCCCACTGAGGCGATTAAGATATTTGAAGCACAAATGAAAGTCAGAAAAACATACCCAGATTTCTTTGAACGATATTTGAACTCTATAGACTGATGTACAGCCAAAAGGCAACGTAAAGGCATAAAGTATATGTACTTTCTAAATAGACATGAAGCTCTTCGTCAAGAAAGGTCATGTGATACACCAAACGCCACATTATCGTTGATATCCTTAAGGAATATTAGATCACGTTGTACATAGTTCCAACTATACATGCTACCGATAATACGTGTATTTTAATCTAGACCGATTCGGTGGTTCAGACGATGTTGATAAATTCAGAAACACTGAAGTTCACAAGCTTGGCAAAACACTGATTATCTGGTTTCATTGAGGTTACGCCATAGATTGTTTTTATAGTTTTGTAGAAAAAAATACAATGAAAAGCACCGTAAATGCCAAATATGACATGAGGCGAAGGTCCGTCCAACGTTACCCTCTGTGAGGGATTAATCGTGCATCGGTCGGTTGCTACAGGAATGTACTGTGCGAGGCATCTAGAAGCGTTTAACGCTATACCTATCCATCACACCATGGACCTAGAGGTAGACGTGTGAGCCACCGAGCGACAGTGGTAGATTATATAGTATGTATATATGGCATAGAACATAGAGAAAAAGCACTTTGTTTTGTACATATTGGGTGAATCAATCTTTTGCATAATTTTTGTACAATTTTCATACTTGAATAAAAGACTTCTTGTTACCGCTTACACGACTGGTGTGTTTTACTGGAATGGTGTTAAATGGGTTCAACGCCCCCTTAATTGGGATTTCAGGGATTTCAGTGGGAGGCAAACATTTTTTGAGGCAGGTAGATGACGACTATGACTAAAGTTGGCATGCCAAGGATCAATATCAGTGTGAATCTTGGGTTCGAACGTACGATGAGTGGTTCAGGACAAATGTTGATAGTGTGTTGTGAAAATGACCGATATGTACCAGTGTCTGTTTAAACATGGTGCAGGGAAAGTTTTGGCACATGGTTTAGAGGCAGTTGTTGGACATGGTACATGATCTGTTGGAGGACATGGAACATGGTCTGTTGTAAGACATGGTACATGGTCTGCTGTTGGACATGGTACACGGTCTGTTTGAGGACATGCCACAGGGCCTGTTGGAGGACATGGTGCAGGGTCTATTGTAGGACATAGTACATGGTCTGTTGGAGGACATGGCCCAGGGCCTGTTGGAGAACATGGTACAGGGTCTGTTGTAGGACATGGAACAGGGTCTGTTGTAGGACATGGTACATGGTCTGCTGTTGGACATGGTAGATGGTCTGCTGTTGGACATGGTACATGATCTGTTGTAGGACATGGTACATGGTCTGCTGTTGGACATGGTACATGGTCTGTTTGAGGACAGGACACAGGGCCTGTTGGAGAACATGGTACAGGGTCTGTTGTAGGACATAGTACATGATCTGTTGGAGGACATGGCTCAGGGACTATTGGAGAACATGGTACATGGTCTGTTGGAGGACATGGTACATGGTCTGTTGTAGGACATGGTACATGGTCTGTTGTAGGACATGGTACATGGTCTGTTGTAGGACATGGTACATGGTCTGTTGTAGGACATGGAACATGGTCTGTTGTAGGACATGGTACATGGTCTGTTGTAGGACATGGTACATGGTCTGTTGGAGGACATGGTACATGGTCTGTTGGAGGACACATGATGGTCTGTTGTCTGTTGGACATGGTACATGGTCTGTTGGAGGACATGGTACATGGTCTGTTGTAGGACATGGCACATGATCTGTTGGAGGACATGGAACATGGTCTGTTGTAGGGCATGGTACATGGTCTGTTGGAGGACATGGAACATGGTCTGTTGTAGGACATGGTACATGATCTGTTGGAGGACATGGAACATGGTCTGTTGTAGGACATGGTACATGGTCTGTTGGAGGACATGGTACATGGTCTGTTGTAGGGACATGGTACATGGTCTGTTGGAGGACATGGAACATGGTCTGTTGTAGGACATGGTACATGGTCTGTTGTAGGACATGGTACATGGTCTGTTGGAGGACATGGTACATGGTCTGTTGTAGGACATGGTACATGATCTGTTGGAGGACATGGAACATGGTCTGTTGGAGGACATGGCACATGGTCTGTTGTAGGGCATGGTACATGATCTGTTGGAGGACATGGAACATGGTCTGTTGTAGGAAATGGTACGTGGTCTGTTGTAGGGCATGGTACATGATCTGTTGGAGGACATGGAACATGGTCTGTTGTAGGACATGGTACATAAACTGTTGTAGGGCATGGTACATGGTACATGGTCTGTTGGAAGACATGGTACATGGTCTGTTGTAGGACATGGTACATGATCTGTTGGAGGACATGGAACATGGTCTGTTGTAGGAAATGGTACGTGGTCTGTTGTAGGGCATGGTACATCATCTGTTGGAGGACATGGAACATGGTCTGTTGTAGGACCAAGTACAGAGTCTTTTGTTTTATTTGTTTGTTGTTTAAAGCAGCAGTCAGCAATATTCCAGCTATAAATCCAGCTGCAAATCGAGGTTAAGACAAGCATAATCAACAGCATGAGCAACGAACTACGCAATGGGATACGATGACATGTGTCAACCAAGTCAGCGAGCCTGACCAACCGATCCCGTTAGTCGCCTCTTGAGACAAGCTTTGGTTGTTGAAGACAATTCTAACACGGATCTTCCGGGTGTAAGACATGGTGCAGAATCGTTTGTATAATATTGAACAGTGTCCTTTGTGGTACATGGTACAAGGTCTGTTGTAGGACATGGTACAGGGCCTGCTGTAGAACATGGAACAGTGCGCCTTATGGCTTGAAGGTGTAGGGTCTGCTTTACGGCATAGTAAATGGTAAGACATGGGGCAGTGTTTCTTATAAGATATGATACAGTGTATGTTGTAGAATATGGTGCATGACTGTTCCAGGACAGGATACAGAAACACTCAAAGCAAATGGTACAAGAACTGTTGCAAGATATGACTCAGAAATCATCAGAGGCTGCCAAATTACATGATACATGCCGCCGTGTAATATGATACGTATTTGTACAATGTCTGCTGTAGTGTTATTGGTCACGGTTGTTTGACGTTTAAAGCCTCGCTCGGCAAAAGTTCAGCTGTATGACCGCTGTCTGAAAATATCGAGTTGGACCAGACAATCCAGTGACTGACATCACGAGCATCGATTTTGCGCAATTGGGACACAATGGCATGCATCGGTTTGCATTATGACATACTGCAAGACGTCTTTGCTTTGTGGTGTGTTATTATTTAATGTTTTAATCCAATTATGCTGAAGATAATGCCGCATGACCAATACCGGCATAATCCAAATATTCTCAGACGATATCCAGACTCGTTGCCGTTTTCACACCATTCTTCCTGAAGGAGGAAGCAATGTCATGCTGCCATCAGGCTAAATCTACCATCACACTGGATGTATAAAATCTGCTAACTGATTACAACCAAACCCAGAACACAGTTTGGAACATTCTCGCATGACACGAATTGTTCACAGGTCATTCACAATGCACCCAGAATAGAAACTTTACAAATCCACTTAGAGTATGTAAATATTACAGGTAGGAAATAGTATTTTAAAAGCTTTTCAGCTGTTACAAGGTTGAGTACTTGTCACTGGTTGGTATAACCGAAATGTTAACTATTTCCCGACCCAACGGACCTGCCGTTGTGGGTGTCGTCGCTGTTTGTGTAGACAACGTGTTGTTGTGGAGGAAGCCGCACATGTAACATTTCACAGACGCCATGGGCGTTTAGTGTAAAACTGTTTTCCACATAGCTACTTCACAACAAAACGAGTCCGCTACCCTCCAACCTCCTGTGCCTAGTTGTGCGCAGTCACTGGAAGATGGCTCGAGATTTGTTTGTGGATCTCACTACAGAAAGGGCAGAAAGTGACCTTTCGAAACAGCGTATAGGGTCCCCCTTTAATCTCCGGCTTGAAAACACGACTTGAAAGTGGCGACCACGTGTACAGTGGCGACATACTGGTATGAACAGGATGCGTAATATAACCTGTTGCCAGGTTCAGACAATGAAGCAATTATTTCTATACGTGTAATTACTTATTTCACCCTCAGAGAAAAAGGTCCGTGTTGAAGCTCCTTGATGTCGGAGCATTTGGTGAATAATTCATGTGTTGTCTCTGCGATACGGTTTGTTGTCTGATGTATCTTAAACTGCGGTGCGTAGTTGCAGATGTTTGGAGTAATCAGCGTGAGTTTTACGCCGCTTTAAGCAATATTCTAGCAATATCACAGTGGGGGACACCAGAAATGGGCTTCACACATTGTACACATTTGACGAAATGAACCCGGGTTTTCGGCGTGACGAGCGAACGATTAAACCACAAGGCTACCCTCATCCCCAAAACTCCCCCATAGGTTTCTGATGTGTTCATGGGAGACGTAGAGATGTGAAGTAGGAAATATTAGGGCAGTGGCAGTATAGTTTTTTGTTGAAAAGATTTGTTTACTTTGAACGTAGAACATCTTCTAGAGTGCTATGTTCCGTAAGACATGAACTTTATTGGTGTTGTTAATTCCTACCTTGAAGAAATGCACCTATTCCAAGAGTTGTTGAGTAATTAAAAGATCCGTATATCACTATCACAAAATCATTGCTAATCAGCGCACGGGTTTGAGGCTGCTAAACAAAGGATCATTACCGGGGTGACTGTGGATTCGAACCGGCAATGAGCAAGTTCTTGTACGGCCAAGGGACACTACTCTGCATGGCGCGGTTTGCAGCGCCACAGATAACGCTCCCTACTGTAAGATAGCACAGGATGTTCCTGTGTTGTTTGTTGGTTTGTTGTTTTACGTCGCACTCAGCAATGTTCCAGCTATATGGCGGCGGTCTGTAAATAATCGAGTCTGGACCAGACACTCCAGTTATCAACAACATGAGCATCGATCTACGCAACTGGGATACGATGACATGTGTCACCCCTACGATCCCGTTAGTACAAGCATTGGTTGCTGAAGACCAATTCTAACCTGGATCTTCACAGGCACCTTCGTGTATAAAATGTACAGTCTCTACACGTACAATAAGGAGTTAATGATGGCTTTAATGTGAGTTAGTGAGGCGGCTTTTATAAGCACTTCGGTATATCAGAGCATGTCAGTCAAGAAACAAGAGAGACCTATGTGGCACAGGTGGAAAGGGTTAATCACTTCAGAAGAACAGGCCAAAAATAATCGCGAATCCAGGACCCTTTCCTAACTCTCACCAAACGAAATATCCTAACGGTGACATATTATCATATCGCAGCAGGAAAACCAGAGTGTTCTATGTCCACTTTTGGTGAACATTGAGTTAGGAAGTTCAGGGTATGTTTACAGCCTATTCTATCTCCAGGCAAAATTTCACCGTGACATATAGCATAGAAAGTGGTTTTACATTCATTAATATGTTTTATCTCCATAAAATAGCACAAATTGCTAGTTCCAGAGTATTCTAAGTGGTTCTCGAACCAATCAGCAAATCCAGTTTGATCACGTGACATGGAGATTATTATCATTATCGACAATATACAAATGGAACATCTGAACATTGCCTATATCTATAATTTATTTAATGTAATTCGTACGCTGTGAAACTAAAACAAGTTAAAACAACAAAAATACAACCTGATTACGGGAGAAATAAGCATATAACAATCGTGCAATAACGATTCAGCTGCATTTCTGATACAACACTTCGGTACTCAAAAAAAGTACAAATATATTTGGCCGAGTGTTCTATCTCCAAGCGTTTTTCTTTAATTTCTTAGCTTTAACACACTTTTGGTTATTTCTAAGTCTTTTTGATAAAACACGTGTGTGCACACTTCCAAAGAATTTGATTGAATAGTTTTGAAAATATTGTTGTTGTAAACTTCAAGATCGATTTTCTCGAAAATAAGTTTTTAGGACACAGAACTCTCTGTTTTTCAGAACATATCCCTCCGTACGAAGACTTCAGGACATATCAGAACTTGCTTCATGTGGTGAGGTGTGCAGAGACTTGCTTCACTCTGTGGTGAGGTGTGCAGAGACTTGCTAGACAGAGACTTGCTTCATATCCCTCCATGTGGTGAGGTGTGCAGAATATGTGGTGAGGTGTGCAGAGACTTGCTCTGTGGTGAGGTGTGCAGAGACTTGCTTCATGTGGTGAGACTTGTGTGGTGAGGTGTGCAGAGACTTGCTTCATGTTGCTTCATGTGTGAGGTGTGCAGAGTGCTTCATGTGGTGAGGTGTGCAGAGACTTGCTTCATGTGGTGAGGTGTGCAGAGCTTCATGTGGTGAGGTGTGCAGAGACTTGCTTCATGTGGTGAGGTGTGCAGAGACTTGCTTCATGTGGTGAGGTGTGCAGAGACTTGCTTCATGCCGGACGTTGTGCTGACGTTTTAATCTGCTGGAGAAAACGTTACATTTATAACTTGGAAAGAGAATGAAAAGACTGACATTTTCCAACAGTTCCAAGGATGGAAATACTGATTGTTCCAATTGAAATCTACCCGTGAAGATCCGGGTCTTCAGTAACCCATGCTTGTTTTAAGAGGCGACTAACGGGATCGGGTCGTCAGGCTCGCTGACTTGGTTGACACGTCATTGTATCCCAATTGCGTAGATTGATGCTCATGATGATCACTGGATTGTCTGGTCCAGGCCCTATTATTTACAGACCACCGCCATATATAGGTTGGCATATTGGAGTGCAGCGTAAAGCAAAATCCAATTGGATTGACGTTTATATTGTTCAGGCTTTAAAAGTGTTTCGGGGACTTTATGCAGTAAGATATCACTTGGCATTTTAACATAGAGGTCTTTTCGGATCCTCCCATGTCAATACCCGTAAGAATCGGTCCTCAGCAACACAAGCCTGTCGTAGGAGGAGACTAACGGATTGGGTGGTCATGCTCGTTGACTTTCATGTGCATGTCATCTTATCCCACCTGTATAGATCGATACCCATGGTGCTGATTACTGGATTGTCTGCTCTGCAACATTCGTCACCACTCGCCCCTTTCCGTAACCAGCTATTCGGCTTGTCCCGGAATAACACGAGTTGGTCACAAATGGCTCTGCAAGTATCCTCGAAGATCCGGGTTAGAATTGGTCTTATACAATACTTGTCATATGAGGCGACTAAAGTTGACACATCATATCTAGGGCTGCCCAATATAACCGGTTTACCGGTATATACCGGTTCAGACATGAAAACGATACGTATTGCGATACGTTGATCGAAAACCGGTATTTTGACATGCATTCGGAAAACTTAGTAATACTCGAAAATCTTCGAATATTTCCGTTTTTTACACCGGAAGCCATGCGTGTGTTGTAAAATGGTGACCCCCAACAACGAACAATTTATTGTGGTGCCAAATACTAGGGCAAAGGCATCGGTAAGGCCGCATTTTGGGTTGAAAACGTTCACGGTAGATGGAACTATTGGTAAGAGGAACGCGGTACGTAAAATATGCAATGGTAAAGTAGTTTTTATTAAAGCTTAATCAGGCATAGTGATTTTGCTTTATAAATCAAGCATTAACGTCCTGCAATATATTGCAATACATATCGCAATACATGCTTTCGCATCGCAATATGAAAATTCTTTGCAATACACACACACCCCACCCCACCCCTTAATCATATCCCAACTCTGTAGATCGATATTCATGTTGTTTATCACTGGATTGTCTTGTCCAGACTCGATTATTTACTGACCACCCTCATAGAGATTGGATGTTGCCGAGTGCAGTGTTAAACAAACCAACAATACAGTCAGATGTTTGTTTTATTGGATGTGATATCATCAGTTTGTGCACAAAGCATCATACATAGATATTACATATGTAATATACAAAATAATATACAGCATTTATTTACAGAATTCCTAATATAGCAGGTGCATATTAACAATGTTCACCACAACATGCCCATTGTGCATGTGCTTGCTTCATCAGCTGGTGTTAAACAGCTGTTCATCTGCTATAAACACTGTATTCAAACAGTGACCATCCACTTCATCAACTGGTGTAATACCACAACATGCCTGACCCTTGTGACAAAAGGTAGCAAGATTATTGTTTGAACATGTAAACTAATATCTGTAGCAGCAATGTCTAGTTCTCACCTGCACATCACAGCAAAAGATAGACCATGACTTATTTATTGCAATCTTAATCAGAGCAGCTCTTGAGGATTTATTACCAGACGAAATGGTTGCAAGCAGTGGTATATAAAGCTCTGGTCACTAGACCACTTAAAGCACAATAAGTCACAATAAGTGATACTTAAAGAACTTATGTCACAGCCAGTACTACAAAGTGCTTGTCACATTCAGTGCCACTTAAGCACTTATCACCTGTGTTACTTCAGCAGATCACAATCAGTGGCACTTAATCAATCATCGCATTGGGAGCTACCTGAACTGCTCAGTACACACAGAGCTTGAGTGCTAGTCGCTATCATTGCTACTCTGAGCACCACTCATCTGCGTACTGATCACAAGAGCGAGTGAGTGAGTATGGTTTTGTGCTGCTTTTAGTAATACCGATCATAAGAACTGTGCTTCCCAACTTGACCTTACATTTTCTACAAAAGAAATAGTTTGACTAGACAGAAAATATGTATTACTCCATTATTAATACAATTGCGAAATAATGAAACGAAATGCTTCACAAATATTGCACTTTTCCCTCACACACTGTGTACACACACTATTGGTAGGAATTCTAGCATGGATGATCAACAGGTCTCCTGTTGACATTGTAGCACAAAATTCTCATCATATTTTTCATTTTTGAAAGGCTTGGGTGAAAACTGTATTTGCGTTGTACAGCATTCTGATTGTTTGTGTTCTTAACATTGTAACAAATCTTAACATTGTTCTTAACATTGTACATCAACTTGCTTCTTTCTGTGAAAAACAGACCCGTGAAGATCCGGGTAGAATAGGTCTTCAGCAACCCATGTGCTTGCCATAAAAGGCGACTATCCTGTCGTAAGAGGCGACTAACGGGATCGGGGGGGTCAGTTTCGCTGACTTGGTTGACACATGTCATTGGTTCCCAATTGTGCAGATCGATGCTCATGCTGTTCATCATTGGATTGTCTGGTCCAGACTCAATTATTTACAGACCGCAGCCATATAACTGGGATATTGCTGAGTGCGGCGTAAAACTAAACTGACTCACTCACTGTGCAAAACAGCTGCAACACTGTACAACAACCTGATTGTTCTTCTGCTATAAACACTATACCATTGTGCATGTGCTTGCTTCATCAGCTGTTGTTAAACAGCTGTTCATCTGCTATAAACACTGTATTTAAACAGTGACCATCCACTTCATCTGTAATACAGCTGCAACATTGTACATAACTTGTATGGTGATTGTTGACTATACACTGTTGATATTTGCAACACTTTACAACAGCTGCTTGTTTCAGTTACCTTAACATGTAAAGATGTGCAACATAGTACAAGCAGTATATCAGGTAACAGTGCCTGTTGAGAAACACTGATGTGACCCTGTGTAACATTGTCCATGAACTGTCTGTTCAGGTGCTGATGGTCTCATTCTGTCCCTTCTCAATGATCTGCAGCAATCTCTGCATGTGGCCGTCTTGCACCGCCACCTTGATGCCGGGGGTGACTGCGGTGGTACAGCTGGATCAACTGGGTGTACTCCGTACCGGTGAACTGCGGTCCTTTCTCCGCTATTGAGTTCAAGATGTCCTGGGAACAGAAAAAGAACCTTATCACCATGGGTATATTTGTGAACCTCGGAGACTCAAATGTAAGGGACGGCCTGTAAGAGAAGCAACTCTGCCTAGCAACAGTAGTTTGGGTGTTTTTCTACTTACATCGGGGGTAAGGTATAGCAGCTCGTAGAACAGCCTGGCCCTGTCCATGTCCGACTCCCGGGTTAATGTGATGTTGGTCAGGTTCTGTTGGATGGCCAGGATGTTTCGGGCACCTGAAGCCAGAATAACAAAGCTAGTTATTTCATTCTCACATGCAGAACTTGCAAAGTAGTTATTAATCACTGGTCATTACTTCAGGATAATTCTTATCTGTGTTTATTGACTTAAAAAGAAGTGAACGAGTTAAGTTTAATGACTCGGTCAGCAATAGTACAGCTGTTTCACACCATCACTCACATTTTCTTGATGCCATTCTCGTTGATCTTCTTCAGGAAATGGACACTGTTGATGAGGATGGAAGACACCAGGTATCCCAGACTCTCAAAGATGTACCTGTCAAGAGTGGTCAGTCAGTTATCTCCCCCAAGCACTTAATAATTCGTGGCTTATACGCATTTGGACGGCAGTGTTTACTCTCCTTTGAATATCATAAATACTTATGCTTGAGTGGAAGATAAAGTTGTCTTTAATAAGTCTGTGAAATGTTATACAACTGTTCATAAGATAATCAAGAAAGCAATGGATGTTCTTAAGCATCAGTGAAGCCCATTTCTGGTGTCCCCCGCCGTGATGTTGCTGGAATATTGCTAAAAGCGGCGTAAAACCAAACTCAGTCAGTCAGTCAGTCTTAAACATCAGAAAACCCATAACACAAGGACTTATGCAAACAGTGGGGGAATATACAAAGAGTTATCTCCCCTTTCAATAGAACAACTAACATCAAGTGAGTGAATTTGGTTATACACCGCTTTTAGCAATATTGCAGCAATATCACGGCGGGTGACGCCAGAAATGAGCTTCACACATTGTACCCATACCATCAAGTGTTATTATGTGTTCAGTGTACTAACGTAGACATTATACAGTGTTTGGTGTACTGGCTTGACCTCTGGGGTGTCATACAGTGATTGGCCTACTCGCTTGACCTCTAGGGTGTCATACAGTGTTTGGTGTACTGGCTTGACCTCTAGGGTGTCATACAGAGATTGGTGTACTGGCTTGACCTCTAGGGTGTCATACAATGTTTGGCCTACTCGCTTGACCTCTAGGGTGTCATACAGCGTTTGGTGTACTGGCTTGACCTCTAGGGTGTCATACAGTGTTTGGCCTACTCGCTTGACCTTTAGGGTGTCATACAGTGTTTGATCTACTCACTTGAACTTTTTGGGCTGCAGGCTGTGTGCCAGGACCTCCTCCATGCTGGTCAGATCCTTGTTCAGCTTCAAGACATTAGAGTCAGGGTCAAGGTCATCTATTGGCCCTGCATAGTTGGACTGTAAGACGAAGTAATACACATGCATTTATCTGATTATGAATGTGCATTTCATGCACATAAACATTTATAATATGCCTTAAATTAAAGTGATCCTGAATTATTCACGCTTGTGCTGCATTACTAATTGGTTGATAACATTTTGTAATACAAGACGTCACTTCACGAGTCATAACACGATACACCTCTTTCCAGGAACTCATAACACTTGTGTTCTACCTCAACAATTAAACAGCCAAGTATCTACCTGTTTAGCTACCGGCAACAGGTAGTAGAAGCAGTGAACTCGGACCTCCAGGTGTAACAGCAACATACATATCTCTGCCAGGTCGCGGAAATCCTGGACAAGTGTGTTCATGCCTCTATAAAACAAAATTGCACAGACAGATCAGAAGACCCACTAACTACATGCCATGCAGCATAAACACATTAGGGACCGTTCATATTTATGGCTAGGGGGTGATGATGGTTTTAAAGGGGTGGGTACGGGGTACCCATTTTGTTCGGGGCATGGGTGATCCATCAATCTTGTACACATCTAGCAAAGGGGGATCAGCGAGAGAGGTTTCAAGGTTTCATAAAGGTCACTATGGCAGCTGATCACAGCAATTAACATGTTGGCTCAAAACAAGAATCGCTCTGGATCAGTGGCCCTTTAAGTCCCTTAACCTACAAGCATATAAGCGGTATTGAGGGTACTTCTCATTCTTAGTCTCCATGGTGGATTCTGGGTTATAATTTGTCTCCTGTAACCTATATACAACTGAGGCAACTAATTTGCTCTAGTGGTCAGGCTAGGTGACTTTGTTCACAGTGTGCCATCATACCTCGGTGACATGATCATGGCTAATATTATTTTCAGGCTAGATTCAAGAATCGGCTACTGTGGATAAATAAATGGCATCTTTATTATAGTGTTCAAAGTAATCCCTTTGAATTTGCTTTAAGTGAAGTTCACTGTATATTATTTCATGACTGCAGTACTCACGCTAAAGTTTTCTCTGATACCGGTGGAATGTCCTGATAAAGAAAAAGAGACACTATAGTGAATGGATGTACTTTGCAGAATTTGATGAGTGAAAACAAATTTTTTTTTAGAAAATAATGAGCAGATACTTCATCAGAAAAACAAATGTCACCACACTGTAGAAATACATAACAAACAAATGTGTCTATATTTAAAAAATACTTGTAATAGTGTGCGCATTTGCTAAAGTTATCATGTGTTTACACAAACTAGAAGTAGTGCTGGATCACGTTTTAATCAATATACTGGTATTCACATTTAGATATTGATCAACAAACAAACAATATATTGATTAGTGTCCACATGATAACGTGCAATAGTGTTACTTACAGCTGGGCTAGTGGATGGTGGGCCAAGGTTGCTTGTGGACCGACCAGACAAACTATCTGTGAACTGCTGAAGACGACCAGCAAACCATTCCTGATAAACAAAGTTCACTGATAACACAGAGGGCCACAGGTGAATTTTGTCTATGATACAATAATAATACATCTGATCCTAACTTATAAAGTAAAATATATAGTTTAAAGTTTCCTTAGAGAGCAATGATTAATGAGTGGCATCCCAGTTACATATTAATTAGTCTCCTTTAGTCTCCTACTAGGGAATACACTCACATATAGCCTCCCAGACCTCAACTCACCAGACTCTCATGTACAGTGATGACCTCCTGCTGAGGAATACACTCACATATCACCTCCCAGACCTCAACTCACCAGACTCTCATGTACAGTGATGACCTCCTGCTGATGTATACACTCACATATAGCCTCCCAGACCTCGACTCACCAGACTCTCATGTACAGTGATGACCTCCTACTAGGGAATACACTCACATATAGCCTCCCAGACCTCAACTCACCAGACTCTCATGTACAGTGATGACCTCCTACTAGGGAATACACTCACATATAGCCTCCCAGACCTCAACTCACCAGACTCTCATGTACAGTGATGACCTCCTGCTGATAGGGAATACACTCACATATCACCTCCCAGACCTCAACTCACCAGACTCTCATGTACAGTGATGACCTCCTACTAGGGAATACACTCACATATAGCCTCCCAGACCTCGACTCACCAGACTCTCATGTACAGTGATGACCTCCTACTAGGAATACACTCACATATCACCTCCCAGACCTCAACTCACCAGACTCTCATGTACAGTGATGACCTCCTACTAGGGAATACACTCACATATCACCTCCCAGACCTCAACTCACCAGACTCTCATGTACAGTGATGACCTCCTGCTGATGAATACACTCACATATCACCCTCCCAGACCTCAACTCACCAGACTCTCATGTACAGTGATGACCTCCTACTAGGGAATACACTCACATATCACCTCCCAGACCTCAACTCACCAGACTCTCATGTACAGTGATGACCTCCTACTAGGGAATACACTCACATATCACCTCCCAGACCTCAACTCACCAGACTCTCATGTACAGTGATGACCTCCTACTAGGGAATACACTCACATATATAGCCTCCCAGACCTCAACTCACCAGACTCTCATGTACAGTGATGACCTCCCTTGCTAGGAATACACTCACATATCACCTCCCAGACCTCAACTCACCAGACTCTCATGTACAGTGATGACCTCCTGCTGATGTATACACTCACATATCACCTCCCAGACCTCAACTCACCAGACTCTCATGTACAGTGATGACCTCCTGCTGATGTATACGCTCACATATCACCTCCCAGACCTTAACTCACCAGACTCTCATGTACAGTGATGACCTCCTGCTGATGGAATACACTCACATATAGCCTCCCAGACCTCAACTCACCAGACTCTCATGTACAGTGATGACTCTCCTGCTGGGGAATACACTCACATATCACCTCCCAGACCTCAACTCACCAGACTCTCATGTACAGTGATGACCTCCTGCTGATGTATATACACTCACATATCACCTCCCAGACCTTAACTCACCAGACTCTCATGTACAGTGATGACCTCCTACTAGGGAATACACTCACATATATACCTCCCCAGACCTCGACTCACCAGACTCTCATGTACAGTGATGACCTCCTACTAGGAATACACTCACATATCACCTCCCAGACCTCAACTCACCAGACTCTCATGTACAGTGATGACCTCCTGCTGATGTATACACTCACATATCACCTCCCAGACCTCAACTCACCAGACTCTCATGTACAGTGATGACCTCCTACTAGGGAATACACTCACATATAGCCTCCCAGACCTCGACTCACCAGACTCTCATGTACAGTGATGACCTCCTACTAGGGAATACACTCACATATAGCCTCCCAGACCTCAACTCACCAGACTCTCATGTACAGTGATGACCTCCTACTAGGGAATACACTCACATATAGCCTCCCAGACCTCGACTCACCAGACTCTCATGTACAGTGATGACCTCCTACTAGGGAATACACTCACATATAGCCTCCCAGACCTCGACTCACCAGACTCTCATGTACAGTGATGACTTCCTACTAGGGAATACACTCACATATAGCCTCCCAGACCTCGACTCACCAGACTCTCATGTACAGTGATGACCTCCTACTAGGAATACACTCACATATAGCCTCCCAGACCTCAGACTCACCAGACTCTCATGTACAGTGATGACCTCCTACTAGGAATACACTCACATATCAGCCTCCCAGACCTCACTCACCAGACTCTCATGTACAGTGATGACCTCCTACTAGGGAATACACTCACATATATACCTCCCAGACCTCGACTCACCAGACTCTCATGTACAGTGATGACCTCCTACTAGGAATACACTCACATATAGCCTCCCAGACTCAACTCACTCACCAGACTCTCATGTACAGTGATGACCTCCTACTAGGGAATACACTCACATATAGCCTCCCAGACCTCTGACTCACCAGACTCTCATGTACAGTGATGACCTCCTACTAGGGAATACACTCACATATAGCCTCCCAGACCTCGACTCTCCCAGACTCTCATGTACAGTGATGACCTCCTACTAGGGAATACACTCACATATAGCCTCCCAGACCTCGACTCACCAGACTCTCATGTACAGTGATGACCTCCTACTAGGGAATACACTCACATATAGCCTCCCAGACCTCGACTCACCAGACTCTCATGTACAGTGATGACCTCCTACTAGGGAATACACTCACATATAGCCTCCCAGACCTCGACTCACCAGACTCTCATGTACAGTGATGACTTCCTACTAGGGAATACACTCACATATCACCTCCCAGACCTCAACTCACCAGACTCTCATGTACAGTGATGACCTCCTGCTGATGTATACGCTCACGTATCACCTCCCAGACCTTAACTCACCAGACTCTCATGTACAGTGATGACCTCCTACTAGGGAATACACTCACATATAGCCTCCCAGACCTCGACTCACCAGACTCTCATGTACAGTGATGACTTCCTACTAGGGAATACACTCACATATCACCTCCCAGACCTCAACTCACCAGACTCTCATGTACAGTGATGACCTCCTGCTGATGTATACGCTCACGTATCACCTCCCAGACCTTAACTCACCAGACTCTCATGTACAGTGATGACCTCCTACTAGGGAATACACTCACATATAGCCTCCCAGACCTCGACTCACCAGACTCTCATGTACAGTGATGACCTCCTACTAGGGAATACACTCACATATCACCTCCCAGACCTCGACTCACCAGACTCTCATGTACAGTGATGACCTCCTGCTGATGTATACGCTCACATATCACCTCCCAGACCTTAACTCACCAGACTCTCATGTACAGTGATGACCTCCTACTAGGAATACACTCACATATAGCCTCCCAGACCTCGACTCACCAGACTCTCATGTACAGTGATGACCTCCTACTAGGGAATACACTCACATATAGCCTCCCAGACCTCGACTCACCAGACTCTCATGTACAGTGATGACCTCCTACTAGGGAATACACTCACATATCACCTCCCAGACCTCAACTCACCAGACTCTCATGTACAGTGATGACTTCCTACTAGGGAATACACTCACATATAGCCTCCCAGACCTCGACTCACCAGACTCTCATGTACAGTGATGACCTTCTACTAGGGAATACACTCACATATCACCTCCCAGACCTCGACTCACCAGACTCTCATGTACAGTGATGACCTCCTGCTGATGTATACGCTCACATATAACCTCCCAGACCTCAACTCACCAGACTCTCATGTACAGTGATGACCTCCTGCTGATGTATACGCTCACGTATCACCTCCCAGACCTTAACTCACCAGACTGTCATGTACAGTGATGACCTCCTACTAGGGAATACACTCACATATAGCCTCCCAGACCTCCGACTCACCAGACTCTCATGTACAGTGATGACCTCCTACAAGGGAATACACTCTCACATATAGCCTCCCAGACCTCTGACTCACCAGACTCTCATGTACAGTGATGACTTCCTACTAGGGAATACACTCACATATCACCTCCCAGACCTCCTCGACTCACCAGACTGCATGTGTACAGTGATGACCTCCTACTAGGGAATACACTCATATCATCTCCCAGACCTCAACTCACCAGGACTCTCATGTACAGTGATGACCTCCCTACTAGGGAATACACTCACATATAGCCTCCAGACCTCGGACTCACCAGACTCTCATGTACAATGATGACCTCCTACTAGGGAATACACTCACATATAGCCTCCCAGACCTCGACTCACCAGACTCTCATGTACAGTGATGACCTCCTACTAGGGAATACACTCATATCACCTCCCAGACCTCAACTCACCAGACTCTCATGTACAGTGATGACCTCCTACTAGGGAATACACTCACATATAGCCTCCCAGACCTCGACTCACCAGACTCTCATGTACAGTGATGACTTCCTACTAGGGAATACACTCACATATAGCCTCCCAGACCTCGACTCACCAGACTCTCATGTACAGTGATGACCTTCTACTAGGGAATACACTCACATATCACCTCCCAGACCTCGACTCACCAGACTCTCATGTACAGTGATGACCTCCTGCTGATGTATACGCTCACATATCACCTCCCAGACCTCAATTAACCAGGCTCTCGTGTACAGTGATGACCTCCTGCTGACGTATACGCTCACATATCGCCTTCCAGACCTTAACTCACCAGACTCTCATGTACAGTGATGACCTCCTGCTGATGTATACACCTCACACATATCACCTACCAGACCTTAACTCACCAGACTCTCATGTACAGTGATGACCTCCTGCTGATGAATACACTGACATATCGCCTACCAGACCTCAACTCACCAGACTCTCATGTACAGTGATGACCTCCTGCTGATGTTTACGCTCACATATCACCTCCCAGACCTCAACTCACCAGACTCTCATGTACAGTGATGACCTCCTGCTGATGTATACGCTCACATATCGCCTACCAGACCTCAACTCACCATACTCTCATGTACAGTGATGACCTCCTCCTAAAGTATACGCTCACATATCACCTACCAGACCTCAACTCACCAGACTCTCTTGTACAGTGATGACATCCTGCTGACGATGTATACACTCACATATCACCTACCAGACCTCAACTCACCAGACTCTCATGTACAGTGATGACCTCCTGCTGATGAATACACTCACATATCACCTACCAGACCTCAACTCACCAGACTCTCATGTACAGTGATGACCTCCTGCTGATGAATACACTCACATATCACCTACCAGACCTCAACTCACCAGACTCTCATGTACAGTGATGACCTCCTGCTGATGAATACACTGACATATCGCCTACCAGACCTCAACTCACCAGACTCTCATGTACAGTGATGACCTCCTGCTGATGAATACACTGACATATCACCTCCCAGACCTCAATTAACCAGGCTCTCGTGTACAGTGATGACCTCCTGCTGACGTATACGCTCACATATCGCCTACCAGACCTCAACTCACCAGACTCTCATGTACAGTGATGACCTCCTCCTAAAGTATACGCTCACATATCACCTTCCAGACCTCAACTCGCCAGACTCTCTTGTACAGTGATGACATCCTGCTGACGTATACACTCACATATCGCCTACCAGACCTCAACTCACCAGGCTCTCATGTACAGTGATGACCTCCTGCTGATGAATACACTCACATATCACCTACCAGACCTCAACTCACCAGACTCTCATGTACAGTGATGACCTCCTGCTGATGAATACACTCACATATCACCTACCAGACCTCAACTCACCAGACTCTCATGTACAGTGATGACCTCCTGCTGATGAATACACTGACATATCGCCTACCAGACCTCAACTCACCAGACTCTCATGTACAGTGATGACCTCCTGCTGATGAATACACTCACATATCACCTCCCAGACCTCAATTAACCAGGCTCTCGTGTACAGTGATGACCTCCTGCTGACGTATACGCTCACATATCGCCTCCCAGACCTCGACTCACCAGACTCTCATGTACAGTGATGACCTTCTACTAGGGAATACACTCACATATCACCTCCCAGATCTCGACTCACCAGACTCTCATGTACAGTGATGACCTCCTGCTGATGTATACACTCACACATCACCTTCCAGACCTTAACTCACCAGACTCTCATGTACAGTGATGACCTCCTGCTGATGTATACGCTCACATATCGCCTACCAGACCTTAACTCACCAGACTCTCATGTACAGTGATGACCTCCTGCTGATGTATACACTCACATATCACCTACCAGACCTCGACTCACCAGACTCTCTTGTACAGTGATGACCTCCTGCTGATGTATACACTCACATATCAGCTCCCAGACCGTAGCTCACCAGACTCTCATGTACAGTGATGACCTCCTGCTGATGTATACACTCACATATCACCTCCCAGACCTCAACTCACCAGACTCTCATGTACAGTGATGACCTCCTGCTGATGTATACACTCACATATCACCTACCAGACCTCAACTCACCAGACTCTCATGTACAGTGATGACCTCCTGCTGATGTATCACACATATATCCTCCCAGACCTCACTTAACCAGGTTCTCAAGTGTACAGTGATGACCTCCTGCTGGCGTATCGGCTCACATATCACCTCCCAGACCTTAACTCACCAGACTCTCATGTACAGTGATGACCTCCTGCTGATGAATACACTCACATATCACCTACCAGACCTCAACTCACCAGACTCTCATGTACAGTGATGACCTCCTGCTGATGTTTACGCTCACATATCACCTCCCAGACCTCAACTCACCAGACTCTCATGTACAGTGATGACCTCCTGCTGATGTATACGCTCACATATCACCTACCAGACCTCAACTCACCAGACTCTCATGTACAGTGATGACCTCCTGCTAAGTATATCACATATCACCTACCAGACCTCAACTCACCAGACTCTCATGTACAGTGATGACCTCCTGCTGATGTATGCACGTCACATATCATTCTACCAGACCTCAACTCACCAGACTCTCATGTACAGTGATGACCTCCTGCTAAAGTATACGCTCACATATCACCTACCAGACCTCAACTCACCAGACTCTCTTGTACAGTGATGACCTCCTGCTGACGTATACATTCACATATCGCCTACCAGACCTCAACTCACCAGACTCTCATGTACAGTGATGACCTCCTGCTGATGAATACACTCACATATCACCTACCAGACCTCAACTCACCAGACTCTCATGTACAGTGATGACCTCCTGCTGATGAATACACTCACATATCGCCTACCAGACCTCAACTCACCAGACTCTCATGTACAGTGATGACCTCCTGCTGATGAATACACTGACATATCGCCTACCAGACCTCAACTCACCAGACTCTCATGTACATTGGCCACAGTCCTCATCTGAGTGACATCAGTTATGATCTCCTGCTGAGGAATCAAGGTCTCGTCTGAGGATAAGTTCCGTATCAAGATGACCGCTTCCTTTGAGTTGAGAGCACGCATCTCCTCCTCCGAGCACATCGTACGGTCCAGCTCCTGTCCCTCCCCGGGCTGAAGAGTCCTCCAGCTTGGCAGAGACCTGGTGTGGAGGAAATCAGTCTTAGATTAATTGCAGCAGCATGTCTGTGTATTAGCAACAATCTACAACAATCATAACTCCCTTACTTAACATAAACATGATCAGACAGTCATAACACTAAGATGACTTTGTGAAAGTGGACCATGGCCCTGAATAGTTACAAAACACTCATGGAAAATGGCAGCATTACTGAGTCGAGAGATACAGTAAAGTCTCACCTGAGGAACCTGCTGATGTCTTCATCCTTTGCCCACTGGGCACTGATCACTCGTTTCTCATCAGATCCATGCTGAACAATATCTGCAGTAATACAGTACCATCAGTACAATATAATAGAATACAATATAATCACTTATACCATAACACCAGTTATACCACACAATCAGTTATAACTAGGGTTGGGTATCGCCAAAATTTTCGAATTGCGATATATTGTGATATGTGTTGGCATATTGAACTTATATCCATTGAACTTATTCATCGGCAAATTATGTAACAATTTGGTAAATAACAATTGTAAAAGAAAATGAACAACATCAAAGATTCAGGGTGTCACATTTTATCATCAGATTCCTGAGCTCGCATTAATTTCGTGACGCATTTTAGACTAGACCCTCGCACTCGCATTAAATTCGTGATGCATTAATTTCATGATTTACAGTAATTGCTATCGGAGACTCAACAATTGCAATCCATCGATAGTTCAATGCATCGTTACAGCCCTAATTGTTATGGCAGAGCTGTGAACCAGTACAGGACTGAATCTAACATTGACACTAACACTGTTGTTGTTAAGAAGGCATCATTCAAGTTTACCTCTGTAGGCAGAGTGGCACTTATCGCGGTAGTCACAGAGAACGTTGCAGATCATGTTGAGGAACTGGTCTGCATAGTCTGGCAGATCATGCATCAGCTCCTGCAGATCTTGAATGTTACGGTCGACTGTCACGGTGCTCTGGAGTAGAGAAGAACATTCACATGAAATACTTTGACAACTGTTTGTTAGCTGGCCAGCCGGTATGGACGTTTTATAAGGCATCATCTGTCACATCAGAACTGACCCTGTTCACGTCTTGAGGAACTAAAACCACTGGCAGTTGAAAGACTTGTGTGATACTTTAACAAGACTGATTGACTGACTAACATCTTGCAATCAACAGACATCATAATTCAGTAACACCTGCCTGTCTGTCCAAAGTGAAGAGCTCAGGGCGGGGACACCAGAAATGGGCTGCAGTTGAACTTTTCTGGAATGCTAAGTTTGAACATTATTCAGTAACTTTGTCCAAAGTGAAGAGCTAGTGCAGTTGTTTTTTCGGAATGCAAGTTGGTAAATGACAAATTCAAATGTAATTATTCTGTCTGATTGAAACATATTTTCTGTCCATATATCTAACTGTGTATACAAATGCATATCATACGACAGAGTAACAGACATTCAAATTTGGTAGGTAAGTCTTTTCCTCTAGTTCTAATATCGTTATGGTTACAGATTAACATGATCATTCGACAACCACATCCTCATTACAAAATCAACACAGAGTCAGTGAGTGAATTTAGTTTTACCCGCGGTTTGAGAAATATTCCAGCTATGAGAGTGTATATGTACATGCGGGCTAACAAGCCCAGACTGGCTGCTTCACAGCCCATTGTACCCGTGTGGAATCGAACCCCCACTCAGGTCTTCAGCCAGTCCTTGACGCCGAAAGCCAGGCTACCAACAAGCTTTAAATGTCACTATGCTACCCCCACTACACCCACGGAGGCCGTAAATCATCACAGAAGTAGCAGTAACTACAAACAGTAAAATTACCTGTAAAAGTGGGCGTGGCACACCAAGTTCCCGTCGGACCTTATCATCAATGACATTCCGCAGAGCATCAAAACCTGGAAGTAAAAAATCCATTCTCCATGTTTGACCACCTTTCAGTATCATGTAATGCAGGTGGGAACTTAACATCAAGCATCCTTTAGTAGCCATCTTGTTTCTGTTATTTGAACACATCAGCATGCATGGATGCATGGAACCTGTACCAGTGAGACCTATTCCAAGATAGTTACTGACTGACTGCCTGAGTATAGTCCCATTAGTACTGAGTGAGAAATGGGCTTCACACATTGACCTGTGGGGATTCCACAAAGTGATCCACTAGGCATGAAGGTGACCATAGCTCTCATACTGGCATAAAGCTTATAATCATCGTAGCTTTGAGATTGTTTTGTGGAACAGGACATATTACCTTAAACAACTAACACCAGTTACTATGTTTTGCTATTTGTTTAATAATTGGCTCTGGAGCAGACAAACAATCATCACTAGTAAAAACGTGCATACTGAACAGATTGTCGATTATATCAAAGGGTGGCAGTGTTATGTGGGAAGAAAACCTCCAGGTCTTATAACACTTTGGTGACCCACAAGGATGGGCATATGGTGTTAACAAACCCAGATAGAAGCAGGACAAACCTGGATTGAAACCACTAATTACAAGTTTCTACTGTGTCTATCCTGCCAAGGGGACATAACTCTGCAGAGCAAATTGTAGTGCATCCTGGAAGACATTTACCCTGATGTTTTTCCTTCAAGATCAACATGCCCATACTGACAATTACAATTTACAATATATACAACAATTAATTAAATTTGTTTGGATGTATAATAACAAATCCAGAGCCAGAGCCATTTAAACAAATTCATGTTACAATGGTTACTTTAGTCTGTTCGTTGATTGGTTGTTTAATGCCGCACTCAGCAATATTCCAGCTACATGACAGCAGCCTGTAAATATTCGAGTCTAGACCAGACAATCCAGTGACTGATGCTGCAGACAGCATTCTACAGAGTCTGGGTACGATGTCTCACTATCAAGCAAGACACAAAGTCTGACCACCAGATCCAACAGTCGCTTCTAACAACAATTATGCTGAGGGTCAATTCTAATGCTGACTCTTGGACTCTTGGACTCCCCGGATGGGGTACTGAAGAACATGTTCCACACTACTGAAACTCTGTGCACAAAACATGGCCACGAACAAGAATGTGTCAAAGTGTAATATTGTGCAAGCAATCGATAGGTTAAACTGTGTAAAGAATTGGAATAAAACATTGCATTCATCTCATGGAGTTGGCAAGCTTCTGAAAGATATAGCATGATCAACAGTTAGCTGAGAGTTAAGAGTTAAGCCAGGCATTGAAGAATGATCAGCCCTAAGTATTGGACAATATGTTCAAACATGAAAATACAATGCCATTTAGAAAGTGGTCAGATGGAACAGGTGTAATATCTGGGATTACACTTTCACAGATTACTGATTCTATTACTCTTTTGGGTGGTTGAGTCACATCTTGGACTCTCAGAGTCAGGTACATAGTTGACACCACACAGTCTGCGATCTAACCTATTCAGCCACTGGGGCTGACAACTAGTAGTCTAGACCATCTACTTTGAGTACCCTTCATTAGGCCACTTTCTAAGGTGGGATTCAAACACACAATACCCAACCACCCCACCCTACCACCCATCTCAAAATACTAGAATCTGTACTTCACTGAGGAAGTGCAATCCCAAATACAGGGCTCGACTTAAGGAAATGAAACCTACTTGAAACCTACTTGCACCCAGTGCAACGTAAGGCAATAATCTTGTTGCACCAAACAAAAACAGGTTCACCTGCTGCGCAATATAAAATCTCATATAAGGCTTGAGTTTTGGTAAAGACATTTTAGAACATTATTATAACAAAAGAAATCTGGGTCTGATAAGATTACTTATCTTACTTCCTAGACTTTCATGAACAGTAAAGTACGCCCTTCAGTCAATGTTCATGAAGTAATCAGAGTCACTGCTCCAAGCCAGTTCCTCATCATTCTGTTTTCGAGCTGAAGTGTTCTTTGAACACAAAATATTAACATGCACTGGGTACAAGTTGATATACATAAGAGGTTGCATTTAGCAGTTTCAGGTTGCATCAGTGCAAGTTCTAAATGCTTAAATCTAGCCCTGTGAGTTTAGTTTTATGCGCTTTTAGTAATATTCCAGCAATATCATGACAGGGGACACCAGAAATGGGCTTCACACATTGTACCCATGTGGGGAATCGAAACCTTTGTCGTCGGCATGATGAGCTAACACTTTAACCACTAGGCTACCCCACCGCACCAGACTGGATGAGACAAACCAATGATTGATATTGTGAGCAGTATCAGTATATAACAACATTTCATCAAACTCACAGCAATGTGTGTGACTTCACATTTTGGGTTTAACATTTCAACAAATATTACTTCTTAATTTGGAATCAAACTCACGTGAAGTAAACACATTCCATGCTGTGCACCTCAAATTTCCAGGTGTCATGTTTAAATATGTGAGTGAACATTCATTGTAATGAAATATTCAAGCGATATCCCTGCATCTAAAAATTTCAATATCTAATTAAAAAACACAAGTAGTCGAAAGTATGATCCAAGTTTAAGATAACACACAATCAGCCTGGTACAAATGTATTACCTAACCTGTACTTAATCGCTATCACAGACATCTAATATGCCATGCATAGGAAATGGAGTTCCTATTCTGACCCAGAAAAAACAACATATAACAAAACAAATATTTAGAAACTTGTGCATAAGCAAAGGCAAAAACACAAAGGAGATATAACATGTAAAATTCATAAACAGTAACCATGACAACAGCAACCTAAAAACATCCAGCAAATCTTTCAGGCTCCTGAAACATGGATGTCGTCATAAACAAAGAACTGAACAACATATCACATCCATTGCAAGGGAACTGACGGAAAATGAGATATGACAAAGTCTAGAAATGAAGATACATCAAGGGCAAGCTAAGGACATCACATTACAGGCCGTTGATACATGACATGATACAAACAGGGCTGGTGGTAAAGGTGATGAGCCAGTTACTGGTGGTCTGGTTTCCATGACAACCACACTTACACTTGTGACCATCCTCCTCCTCAATGACTGAGTGTAATGAGAAAGTCGGCAACACGATCAGACCTTGGATGATGATGATGATGCTGATAGCTTAGTCATGATATGGTGCATACATGTATTCCTAATAAACACAAGATTTCTCGCGGGTTTCCGTTCATCACAGTGATTTCAGTGCTCAGAATATCGAAAAGCTAATACATTAATACTTTTTCGTTTGTTGCTTCACACCATACTAAGCAATATTCCAGCCATAAGATGGTGGTCTGTAAACAAGAAAATCTGGACAAGACAATCCAGTGTCAGCTATTGATTGAGCATTGATTTACAAAGTTGGTATACAATGACATACATCAACGAAGTCAGCGAGCCTCATCACCGATCCCGTTAGTCGCCTCTTACGACAAGCATGGGTTGCTAAAGATCAATTCTAACCCGGATCTTCACGGGTCGCAAGATACACTGATAAACAAAAGATGTTTCAACATTAGTTCCTGGAATACTTTGTACAACAGGGCCTAGGCATTTAGCTCCAGTCTTTCTTACACACCTATAGTCTGTTTGCAGTGAAAACGCACCGATGAATTTTACCTTGCCAATTGATGAATTTCACTTTAAAAACTTATAAAGTAATGAAAGTTTAAGATGAAGTTAAATGTCAACAAAAACATGATCAGTCAACCTCTCTTGATATCTTGCTCTTAAGTTGTTCAAACACGCACGTTTTCAAGACTGACTTTGACCTTGACATGAATGTCATAGTGTATGAAATATGCACAAATAGTACTAAAGAAATTGCTTATTGAAAAACAATCAAGGGAAGTCTTGAAAGTCTATGAAGAAAATCCAGTGAACCGTTGTTGAAATATCTTGCTGACAATTCAGGTTAACAAGCTGAAATCTTCAAAGTGTCGTCGTGACCCTGAAAATTATGTGAAGGTCACCAAAATTGACTGGGCCCCGGGCCTTCCCTAGATGAAGCTTGGTGTCAAATATGAAAAAAAGCCAGTGAATATTTTTTGCGATATCTTGCTGACTATCTTAACAATTTAACATGCCTTTAAGGCCCTGCACCTTCCCTAGATAAAGCTTGGTATTGAATATGAAGAAAATCCAGTGAACGGTTCTTGAGATAGCTTATCATGCAGGTAAAACGTTAAAGTCCCCCTTGAAATGAAGGTCAAGGTCACCAAACCTGACTTGGACCTTTCTTATACTGTGATGAACCTAGGTACCAAATATGAAAACAATCTAGTGAATGGTTCTTAAGATATTCCAATTCGTACGTATGGCCGTACGGCCGTACGGATGGATGGACGGACAGAGCCTAATACAACAGGTATATTCCCCGCTAAAAGCGCGGCGGGGAATAATAATCCTGACACTCTAGTCAGTGAAATGTCCAAGACCACGTTCCCCCAGCCACAAACCTAATTAAACTCCCTACACTGTCAGTGTCCCTTCAGACAACCAAATTTAAACTCCCTACACTGTCAGTGTCCCCTCAGATGGTGACAACCAAAACCTCGAGGAAATTTCCCGATTATTTCCAGACCCTCTTTCACAATGTGTTTCACTACAGAAGCAGCTGTTCAGGATATATTGGGGATATCTCTGGTAGTTTGTTTTACACTATAGACATACCTCGTGTGGCAGCGTCGATGCTCTGGGACACCTTCTGATGAACCTGGCCAAGGAATGCATTTTGTACGAAGTCAGTCACAAACTCCTGGAGACTGCAACATAACATTTACAAACTCACGTATTGAATGCAATTCTAAGATGCCTAGCGGTTAGAACAATTGAAAAAAACAAACATTATGGGACAATAAAGGTATAGTTTTTTGATGACGTAACAACTGAATGACGTTATCCCGTCACTGTGCCATTCTAGTGTGCCCCCTTGTAATCGAACCATTTTACATTACGTCACAATGAAAGCGACGTCACGATGCATGTCAGTTGTCATCGCCTCGTACGGCCTCCTACAGTAAACTACTCCGTTGCATCCCGCTTCTTGGTTTGCAGTTGCTTCACGCAGCTAACATCACTGGTGGAAACATTACGTTTATGTTTTACGACGGTTAAAATGTGTCAATTCGACTCACAAGTTTTCAGCGGCACGGTTAGCGTTAGCAATGTTTACATTCCCACAATGCAATCGGTGGAATGTCGGCTTGACTACTCAGCTTCATCTGGATGTACTGATCTAAGCGTCGTTGGTAGTAGAAATGTCGGCGTTCATATTGCCCCGTATGGTTTACGTTAATGACAGATGTAATTAAAATAATTCAGAGAAGATATTTAATCGAGCGTAAACCGTCATCGAACTGTTATCATTTGTTTTTTCTGGTAACATTAGTCTTAGCGCATTGGGGTCAGGCACATCAATAGAACAGCACGCCTGTTAGCCCCTGTCGCGAGGATTCTTAATTTAGGTCACCGACACCGTCGCGTTCATTTCTGCCTTATATTAATGCGTAATTATCCTTAAATAGTATTAAATTTGGCATCTTAGAAAGAAATACAGTTAAGCTCTACCACCATGTATAGTGTAATAAAGCACACTTTAAGCCCTGAACTATTATAGCGTTAAAGCACTTTCGGACGCAGGTGTCCTCGTACTTCAACTATAATAGTTCAGGCGGAAAACAATGAAGGGGGTTGCATAGAGTCTCAGTCAAGATGTTTGCACTCTCATTCAAGATGTTTGCATGCACTTCCATCCGTCCCATCACTGTTTGAGACAAATGCCTGTTTTACAGTGCTTGTAAAAAAGATATCATGCCAGTGTTTGAAACACTTTAATTTGTCAGTTGGCCATCAAGGCCTGCTGTCGCCTGCAGGCATCAAAATCTACAGGCCCTGAATGAAATCTGCAGGCCCAATTTGTTGAAGCCAAACCAAAATAGACTACACTGTACACAGTTTCACACTATTTCTACAAAATCAATTAGCAAAGCTTATGGCGCATAGAGAAGTTTTTATTTGTTGAAGACTGGTGCTGACATTCCCATGCACAAAGCGCTGAAATACCAGGAAGTGAAACTGTAAATTACCGTGAAGGATCGTGGATGATTCCCAAACATTAATAAAGAAAAAAATTATGGGAAAGAATACAGTTGAAAAAAACAAACAGATAATTTACTAAATGGCCACAAGGGCCTGCAAATATTTGAAACTGCTGGCCCAATACAATAGCAACCGGTATATTTGATTATTTCGAATGCTGTATCATGCCATTGTTTAACATGGATTCTTCACTTACCACCAGTCCTACTGGTATCCCTTACCCTGTCCTGAAAGAGGTCAATGGTTTCAATGTTTCATCCCAATCAACACAGTATTCCCCTAGTCTGATATGTGATTTTTCAGCAAACTTTGATGGCATCTCATCATAATATGCTGACATTTCTCACACTATCAGTCACTGGTTTGTCTCCTCCAGGCTGATGTGGTGGGGTAGCCCAGTGATGATGAGAGATCCGGGTTTGATTCCCCACATGGGTACAATGTGTGAAGCCCATTTCTGGTGTTCCCTGCAGTGATATTGCTGGAATATTGCTAAAAGCGGTGTAAAACTATACTCACTCACTCACTCACCCGAAACCTTGTAGGGGCGGTGGGGTAGCCTAGTGGTTAAAGCGTTGTCTCGTCACGCCGAAGACCAGGGTTTGAATCCCCACATGGGTACAATGTGTGTAGCCCATTTCTGGTGTTCCCTGCCGTGATATTGCTTGAATATTGCTAAAAGCGGTGTAAAACTATACTCACTCACTCGAAACCTTGTTATCAAAGAATCGACATGCATAAAGTGAAACCTGAAGGTGTTGTCTAGTGTATGGATTGGGATTCGAGAGACAACAGGTTGCCATGGCTACGTACCTCGACGGGCTCTCCATCTCCATTGCCTTCTCGATCTCCTGGATGAAGCTGCGGAGTGGCTTGTATATGGCTGGAACAGAGGATTGTGGGATCAGCATACAACAGGCTGTGAAACCCACAATTAGTATGGAACTGACAAACCATGAATCATCATTTGGGATTCAAACCCATGACCATAGGATTTTAGACACCCACCGAAGCCCCCATATTTTACGTCATCAAAACGACATAATGCTTAAATCTTTGTGAGGATGTATGAGATGTTTCTTGGCTGCCTTTCTTGAGCACAGACAATACATTTCTAAGAGGATCATGATCTAATAACTGACCCTCGATACAAACTCCTCCATCAGTACCAACAGAGTGGCCTCCCTTGTATATCATGGTGGTATGCTGCACAACTCACCCGTCACATTATTGGCTGCAGGTTTACACACCAGCTGATGCTTGCTCAGTCCTGCTAGCAGACCCTGGTCACCTAGGTAACCAGCCTGGATAAAGGGAGATAACCACAAGTCAAAATCACATGAAACTACTGTTACAGAACAAAATGTCTCGAACTAGCATTAAAAATAGCAAGACAAAAAGATTACTAACCATAAATTTTCTGTCTCATTTATATGTTACTGGTATATGTGGAACAGAAACATGATATGAAAACATATTCTACCAATAATCTCTCTGTTCTTTATCAGTGAGTGAGTGAGTGAGGTTTATGACGCTTTTAGCAATATTCCACTTTCCAGCAATATCACAGCAGGAAAAACCAAAAATGGGCATCACCCAAATGGGAATCGAACCCGGGTCTCCAGCACAATGAGTGAACACTGTAACCGCTAGGCTACCCCATTGCCCCTCTTCATCAATTATCAGGTGATACTCACAGCATCAAACTGTCGACTGTCCTCGATGTAACTGTTAGTACTGAGGGCGTGAAGTGACGCATCAAACCGGAACAAGCTTATCTGAAACAGTCATATTTTCCCAGTTCACAGCCAGTAAGGACAACACTCAAAATATGACTTAAAAAGTAAACAATTCCTATCAGCCAGACATAAGGAATGTCTGTAAAACTTAAACACTTTCAAATGTATATAAAACTTCAGCCAACAAAATAAGACAAGAAAACCAACAAGAATCTTGAAAAACCTGTCACGGGAACTGTTTCATAGAACAATCTTAGCACTAAGGTGATCCTAACTCCCATATTTTGACACTGTATTACGATCGTCATCGCACTAAGATCGTTTTGTGGATTGTGGCCAGGAGACAAAACTAACTTTCTTTGGCTTTGCCTGTCTCTTCTTGCTGAAGTACTGGCTGATATCCATGCTGGGTTCATCGAAGCCGCTCGGCACCTGCTGTCTGTTTGACAGGGAGTTCCGCACGTCCAGATACTGGCTCAGAAGCACTTGCAGCTGAAAAACACAGCTGTCATATACACCAATCCATTCTGGAGAATTACATAACAATATAAATATTTAATTTATTACTCATTATCATTTAGAAAAACGTAAAGTTGAATGTTAATGCCCCAAAAGCGGAGGGATCTTCTAAAGTGTCTCCCCTGTTACTAACTTGCACCACTTATAGGGTGAAAGCGGATATACATATTGCGGTATTAGTAGAACCGCAGTATTTTGCCTTCGGTTCGGTATACCATAATGCAATCCAAAAATTCGATATTTTCGGTTTTCGTACCATCATTTATTAACCTTCTAAAACCTTTTCTAAAATGTCTAGAAATCGAATATTTTGCTAGGCGGCTGCTATTTTCCCGGAAGTAAGTACTCATACACCGAAACGAAACGGACTGAACCGAAGGCCTTGTACCGTAATACGTACCGTACCGTGGTAAGAGCGTACCATTTCACCCCTAGTTACTTATGGACACCTACCACAGCTTGTATTTCTGACCAGACATCCTTCATGTCGTACATCAGGTCAGATCTCATCGGCATGCCCGACGCCTGGAACAGACAGCACTCACAGTCTTCATATTGGTCAACATTCACAAACAGCTAAAATCTCATTCCAACCGTTGTTTCAGAGAATGTAAGAAGAATCTCCAGTCTTTATCACTCATGAAAATGTTCCAGAAACTATTTTCATAACCACTGATATTACATTTATTTGCTTCTTCCAATAGTTACAAGTTCTATCAGTAAAACACTTGACAAATGTTCCACATCATTAGGAATGAATATCCGTGTTCAAAACCATGATTGCATACAATATAAGTAATTTATTAATTAATCACAGAATTGGCATTCCAAGATCAGTCTCTATAATACAACAGTGATTAGTATTAGGCAAAAATAATGATGTGGTTCCGATGATCCAACTACCCAAAACAAAGGTGCCAACCCAAAATTTCTTTCAGTGATTCTCACTTTTCCTGGCAAGAAAGAACAAGCATGAAAATATACACCACCATAAAACAACTGCTGACTTTACATCATTTTTCAAAGAAACAAGACAGATAGAAGAAAGGAAAAGAAATATCCTCCAATGAAATTAACCAGAACCACAGCACTATTTTGGGGGCCCAATTTATCAATGAATCAATAGAATATTAAAGAAACAAACACATCTGCATGACATGCACACACTTTGAAGTTTTCAGTATGGATAAAATAATATCTTGGATCTCCAGCAGGGAGTTAACAGGCTAGGTTTGGCATACATCCTGGTAAATGTTGGTAATATGTCATTAAGGAAGAAACTGGCATGAATGTTCATTTACTTAGGGTCAGGGCCAATGTGTGACCACTCACTGCCCAATGTTTGTCTCAGTTTGAGGATTCCAGGGTGGAACAGGTACTCACTGCCCAATGTTTGTCTCAGTTTGGGGATTCCAGGGTGGAACAGGTACTCACTACCCAATGTTTGTCTCAGATTGGGGATTCCAGGGTGGAACAGGTCTTCACTACCCAATGTTTGTCTCAGTTTGGGGACTCCAGGGTGGAACAGGTACCCACTACCCAATGTTTGTCTCAGTTTGGGGACTCCAGGGTGGAACAGGTACCCACTACCCAATGTTTGTCTCAGATTGGGGATTCCAGGGAGGAACAGGTCTTCACTACCCAATGTTTGTCTCAGTTTGGGGATTCCAGGGTGGAACAGGTACCCACTACCCAATGTTTGTCTCAGTTTGGGGACTCCAGGGTGGAACAGGTACTCACTGCCCAATGTTTGTCTCAGTTTGGGGATTCCAGGGTGGAACAGGTACTCACTACCCAAAGTTTGTCTCAGTTTGGGGATTCCAGGGAGGAACAGGTCTTCACTACCCAATGTTTGTCTCAGATTGGGGATTCCAGGGTGGAACAGGTACTCACTACCCAAAGTTTGTCTCAGTTTGGGGATTCCAGGGAGGAACAGGTCTTCACTGCCCAATGTTTGTCTCAGTTTGGGGATTCCAGGGTGGAACAGGTACTCACTACCCAAAGTTTGTCTCAGTTTGGGGATTCCAGGGTGGAACAGGTACTCACTACCCAATGTTTGTCTCAGTTTGGGGATTCCAGGGAGGAACAGGTCTTCACTGCCCAATGTTTGTCTCAGTTTGGGGATTCCAGGGTGGAACAGGTACTCACTACCCAAAGTTTGTCTCAGTTTGGGGATTCCAGGGAGGAACAGGTCTTCACTACCCAATGTTTGTCTCAGCTTGGGGATTCCAGGGAGGAACAGGTACTCACTGCTCAATGTTTGTCTCAGCTTGGGGATTCCAGGGAGGAACAGGTACTCACTGCCCAATGTTTGTCTCAGTTTGGGGATTCCAGGGTGGAACAGGTACCCACTACCCAATGTTTGTCTCAGTTTGGGGATTCCAGGGTGGAACAGGTACTCACTACCCAATGTTTGTCTCAGTTTGGGGATTCCAGGGTGGAACAGGTACCCACTACCCAATGTTTGTCTCAGTTTGGGGATTCCAGGGTGGAACAGGTACTCACTACCCAATGTTTGTCTCAGTTTGGGGATTCCAAGGTGGAACAGGTACTCACTACCCAATGTTTGTCTCAGTTTGGGGATTCCAGTGTGGAACAGGTCCTCACTACCAAATGTTTGTCTTAGTTTGGGGATTCCAAGGTGGAACAGGTACTCACTACCCTAATACCTAAAGGTCCCACTAATGTAGCAGTGATACTGAAGATGAAACAACATTCACATATAACCATAAAATGTACACCTTAACAACATCCCAGGTATCTTAGAGGTAGAAACTCCAGAATCTCACTGAGAGTAGGTATTCCCAAACTGATGATGTGTTCATCTTATACTAGTACAAAATGAACGCTACTAACACTACTCACCCTGTTTTTAGTAAAATATATCATATACTACACAACAGAAGTCAAGGACCACCTGATTCTTCAATATGACTATAGTTAATCTACCATGCCATTATTCTTTCACAATGCTATTGTGAACTTGGCTTGACAGAATGTTACTAATATGTAAGAATCAAGTGGTCCTTATCTTCCATTGAGTAGCATTTATAAACACGAGTTGATAAAAGATTCAAAACTATGAGCCTCGCCCTAGAGATATTACAAATGGAAAACAGTGATGATAATATAGAGTGTCTCATGCTATACCAGGCCCCACAAAGTATCTTACTTATAATAAAGTAAACAATAGGAGTAAAACAACACGACCACACCTTCATCATAAAACAGAAACAGGTCCCTCAATAAACATGCTGTCTTGTTTAGACGACAACATAAACATCACATATCGGCTGTGGGCTACCGATTGAAGCGTTTCGATTCCAAACATGGGTACAATGTATGAAGTACATTTCTAGTGCCCCTGATGTGATATTGATGGAATATTGTAAAACCCTACTCACTCACAGATCAGAATAGTCAGTATGGTTCTATGCCGCTCAGCAATATTTCAGCAATATCACGGCGGGGGAAACCAGGAATGGGTTTCACACATTGTGCCCATGTTGGGAAATCTAACCTAGATCTTCAGCGTGACGAGAAACGCTTTAACCACTAGGTTACCATACTGCCCCAGATCAAAATAGGCCCTCAGTACCCAATTACTATCATCAGAGTTGAATAATACAGATCTGGTGGGTTACTTTGAGTGCCCCGGTTGATTGTGTGTTATCTTCAACAGCATTGCTAAGTGTGTTCATGCTGTCAACCACTGGTTTCTTGAGTTCAGATTCAAACCAGGCATCATTGGCACAGCTGGAATATTCAGACTGTGCCGTAACACCGCATTCAAACACTCATAAGGAGAGATGACCTGTGAAGATCCGGGGTAGAATAGGTCTTCAGCAACCGATGCTTGCCACAAAAGGCGACTATGCTTGTCGTAAGTCGCGACTAACGGGATCGGGTGGTCAGGCTTGCTGACTTGGTTGACACATGTCATCAGTTCCCAATTGTGCAGTATGATGCTCATGCTGCTGATCACTGGATTGTCTGGTCCAGACTTGATTATTTACAGACCGCCGCCATACAGCTGGAATATTACGCGGCGTAAATCTAAACTCACTCACTCACTCACTCACTCACTAAGGAGAGATCCTATATATTTTCTAATTATTTTCATCTATGCCGATCTCGGTTAGAATTAGTCTTGAGCAAACAAAGCATGTTGTGAGTAGCCACACTTCGAGTGATCGCTCTCTGTAAATTGATTAATGGTACGTCATCGCACATAAACAACATGGATCAAGTTCATGATGTCGATAACTGGATTGCATGGCCCAACTCAGTCATTTACAGACTGACATTACATAGCACGAATATTGCTGAATGTAGGATCATCGAAACAGAAACAAAACAAATATTAGGGATCACATGGACTGACTGAGTTTTGGCTTTACGCCGCTTTTAGCAATATTCCAGCAACATCACGGCGGGTGACACCAGAAATGGGCTTCACACGTTGTACCCATGTGGGGATTCGAACCGGGTCTTTGGCATGAAACCAACGCTTTAAACACTAGACTACCCCACCGCCCCCACATGGACGTAATATAAGGACATCAAGAGAAACAAGACCAGTTGCTTGAACTAAATAGGTGGTATGGACCCTACATCAACACTGCTCCAGTACTACTTTAAGCAGCATGAAAACTAAACTTATGAGCTTACTAGCACTAAATGCTATTCATACAACATGATAACAATGTGGCATTTCTACTGGCGTATCAACATAACAGTATTAACACATTCACCATGCAGAAACAACAGTTACCATGACTACAAAACAAATATATACATCAGAAAAGAATATAAACAGAACCAAGAAAGAACATAATCCAGTAAAACAAAGAAGTCAAACCATGCAGGGTGGAAACATGGCAGACAGACACAACAGAAGGCCATCGTCAGTACTTCACAGCTTTGAGTACACACATCTCGATCACGTGTGAATACATACAGCCACTAGGCCCTACCATATCGACCCGTGAACATCTGGGTTAGAATTGGTGTTCAGTAACCTTGTCGTAAAAGTGACTAACAGGATTACGTGGTCAAGCTCACCGACTTGGTTGTCACATGTCAATTGCGTAGATATATGCTCGTGTTGTTGATCACTGGATTGTCTGGTCCAGAGTCGATTATTTACAAACCGCCGCCACATAGCTGGAATACTGCTGAGTGCTGTGTTGAACAACTACAAACCAACCCTACTATATCAATGAAAGCCCTTCTCACCACATAGTGGACTTATATATTCTTGGTGATAGATGAATGTGTTAGCTGTTAGTGGCGATGTTAACGCCATATAAATCAATGGCCTATCGTGCAGTGTTTTTGTGATGTATCTATTTCAAGTAAGCTAACACGATAGGTGGTTTATATTTCAGAGATATTCAAAAGAACCCTAATCTGTGTATGAACTATGTAGCAACTGTTGCCATTTAAGCAATGTGTAATGCAGGTAACTTGTGCTTCTATCAACAAGCGAGAAACATGGAATTTGTTCAACACAAGCATTTGTCTGATCAATCTATTGCTACTCTTTTCCTAGAGTGAGTGAGTCAGGTGTTACACAGCTTTTAGCAATATTCCAGCAATTTTAACAGTGAACACCAGAAATGGACTTCACACATTGTACCGATGTAGGGAATCAAACTCAGGCCTGCAGCATGATAAGTGAATGCTTTAACCACAAGGCTACCCCACCATTCCCTTTTACTGGAACTGGGGTTCTCAAAATACAACAATACTTGCAGCGTGACTACACTTCAATCGTGACCACACTTCAATCGTGACTACACTTCAGTTGTGACTACACTTCAATCATGACTACACTTCAATCATGACCACACTTTAATCCTGACTACTCTTCAATCGTGACCACACTTCAATCATGACCACTCTTCAATCGTGGCCACACTTCAATCGTGACCACACTTCAATCGTGACTACACTTCAATCGTGACCACACTTCAATGACTACACTTCAATCGTGACTACACTTCAATCGTGACTACACTTCAGTCGTGACCACACTTCAGTTGTGACCACACTTCAATCCTGACTACTCTTCAATCGTGACTACACTTCAATCATGACCACACTTCAATCATGACTACACTTCAATCGTGACCACACTTCAATCGTGACCACACTTCAGTTGTGACTACACTTCAATCATGACTACATTTCAATCGTGACCACACTTCATTCGTGACCACACTTCAGTTGTGACTACACTTCAATCGTGACTACACTTCAATCGTGACCACACTTCAGTTGTGACTACACTTCAATCATGACTACACTTCAATCGTGACCACACTTCATTCGTGACCACACTTCAGTTGTGACCACACTTCAATCGTGACCACACTTCAATCGTGACTACACTGTATTCAGACCCTATGTATTCACTGATGATACAGGCTGTACACAAAGCCGCGAAGGGATGACGATGACAGAAGACAGGCATCAAGACAACTATGTCCATGTGAACTACACATAAAACTACCGGATGCTCATAATACCTCGGACTGAGATTCTCCAGATTGCTTGAAATGAAAGTTGACATTCCCCACATTTAATCAACGTTCACTCCATCATTTGGCTTCTGCTACTTGGCTTACAGACATGACAACCAAATCAAACTTACCTATATACTACTCAAAACAAGTTAAGGATCAACCAATTCTTTCCTTCTACTGAAGATAATCACATATTAACAATAGAACCAGGAAAGACTAGGGTGACCCTTAACTTCTTTTGAGTCATATGTATATGTATCAATTCATAAGAAAAAAGTACTTAATCTTCACACAGAGCATTTTAAGTCTGTTAACAAACGTGAAATCATACATGACATTTGAAAAAGGACTTGTTATCTAAAGAAGACTTTTCATAAATTACAATTTTTACATCCTAAACATGTTTAAGAGATCCTAAAATAAAAAATATACTTCTCTAAGGGACCGTTCATAATGTATGGCAAGGGGTGGTGGTGGTGATTTTAATAGGGAGTGATGATTTTAAGGGGTAGTCAGCCATTTGTACACATGGATTAGGGAGGTATATGCTAAAAATTATGGGTGGGGTGGGGTGGGTAGGTGGGTGGTCACTTACTTCATACTTTGCTCATAAACTTTAGTGTGTGTGTGTGTGTGTGTGTGTGTGTGTGTGTGTGTGTGAGCTGTGTGTGTGTGTGTGTGTGTGTGTGTGTGTGTGTGTGTGTGTGTGTGTGTGTGTGTGTGTGTGTGTGTGTTTATGTCATTCACATTGTACATGCTTCTCCATAAAAATCATCATCACCACCCCTAGCCATAAATTATGAATCGTCCCTGAAGCAGTTAATGAGCACATGATTTTTCCATGCTACTATCATTTATCCGTCATATCATGACTAATTAACTTTAATAATATGCAAGAATTAGGCTCTCTTTAACGTCTTTAGAGAAGTATATTGAAGTTATTTAACTTTCAATTTTACCACTTGATACTATATTCATGAAACCAAATCTGCAAACCAAGCCTCAGTACATTCAAAACCAAATATGTTTTTGTTTTTCAATAAGTTCTGTCAACATTGCAAGTGAATTCCTAGGAAGCATATCATGTGACATATTGATGAAAATGAATCAAACGAGATCTACCAACAAACTATTAAAATATGTGATAATGTGAATGTGAAAAACATGCAGCAATTTTTCATGTGTTTCCATGGTAACCTGTGTCTCAAAACATCAAGTCAGCATACCTTGACAGTGGTACCTACAAAAACTGGCAATGCTTTTAAAGTGGAATAAAACAATCATTCTGTTTTTTATTCCATGCTGTGCAAACCCACAGCATTCACTTCAAAACAAACTTGTTGTTAAGGATATAAAAACCCGACAGGCCAAAATAACACACAGGCTGACGACATGGTAAGCAAAACAATTGGGGTAAATCATAGAATAGGTGATATTAACATGGATGGAAGGAATTTTTTTGTAAAATAACATCAAATACAGGAATATGTGGGGTTTTCAAATCATACATGAAGTATGTGATACGTATAAATTAATATTTACTTTCAAATGATTATCATTATACATGAACAGACATGAATGACGAGCTCACAGTGACATCTTGCCATTCCATGTATTCTTACAGAGAATTATAGTTCTGTTCTCAATGAAATATGACCTATGCAATAGAGATAATAGTCTGTTGCGTTGGTTGGAATGTCTTTTTTTCTTTGCCAGATTCTTTAGCATGTTAAGTTGGACTGACTTCACTCCAGGTATTGTGTCTAAATTCATAAGAATTAGGACGCTACCGTCATTTGAAAAATGTAGTCATCTCACTGACAGATGTGGTACCTCTCATTTTGGGGGGAACTGACCACTCCAGCAGTTTTAATGGAGCAATGAGAATTCTCTCAATGTCTTCATATGTAGTTTTTATTGCGAAAAGTTCAGTTTGGAGGAATCAAAAAGACATTTGAAGCCTCATTGTAATCCTTCAAAATCAAGCATTGTTGAATGTCAAAGTAGTGACAAGGAGGCTATTAGCATGGGTACAGGGTCTTACTTAAACAGAATATTGCCAGAAAAGAGTCAACTGAATACAACACTAAGAAAAAGCATGTGTCATATTAACCACATAATTTCAACATTAGTCTCTATATTTGCCAACAAGAGTGTGTGACTGAGCTGTGACATCAGCAAGGTGAAGGTATGAAAGGGGAGATAACTCACCATACTCCGGTGGACATTTTTGAGGACAAGTTCATGCATCTGTGCCACCCCTCGGAACTGCTGGAAGATGGTCTCCAACAGATCCAGGAGGTACCGTGGCTGATTCTGGCTTGCCAGGCTGTCTCCTCCACTGAACATACAAGGACTCAGTTCTTAATTACTTGGATTAGAGATATTCTTGGAAAAAAGGTTTGGTCTGTAGGAACTACAAACTATTCTTAATTCTGCTTAATTTGATTTGCAAGAAAACATAATGGATCATAGAAAACATAATTCATCATTCGGGTAATCTATGGATTTACTGTCTCTTGCAATATAATGGATGCTTTTCCAGCAGGTTCATGATGTAAAATGGCCTGTACGCAGACCATAAAGAAGAAACACATTTGTACTAGAAATATCATTGTCTCAAATACATCACATTTGAGGTGAGGTGAGGTGAAATTGGGTTTAACGTCGTACTTGAGAATATTTCGCTCATATGACGACGTGCATGCGTGTGCATGTGTACGTCCGTGCGGCTGCTTGTACTAGCCCAGACTGAAGCTGGTTTTATAGTGCTAGCCCACTGAGAAACCATGCCCCAGTGAAGCATGAATACCCCACTCAGACACAGTATACTGACTCCGAGCCAACCAGTCCTTGTTGTACCCATTAATGCCGAGCGCCAGGCAGGGACCAACAAGTACCATATTTTTACATCTTTGGTATGACGCGGTCGGGGATCGAACCCGCGACCTTTTGCTCTCCGGGCGGACGCTCTAACCACTACACCACGGAGGCGGTCCCCACATCACATTTGAATTCCAAGAGGTAGGGATGTCCTGGACGTTGCACTCACCTCTCCAGCACCTGTTGTGAGGCCCTCGCCACCAGGGTCAGCAGTCCTGGCTGAATCCTCATCTTGATGCCCTGAAAACATGGAAACACAATCTCCTCACTCTTTGCCAGCATGAAAGTATTTAAAGAAACTATCAAGTGTTTCTTTCCCAGTGAGTGAGTGAGTATGGTTTTACGTCACTTTTAGAAATATTCCAGCAATATCACAGTGGGGGGACACCAGGAAGGGGCTTCACACATTGTTTCCATGTGGGCAATCGAAGGCGGTCCTTCGGCGTGACGAGCCAACGCCTTAAGCACTAGGCTACCCCACCGCCCTTCTTTCCCAGTAATTACAAAGCTCTCTTACTGTACAAGCTGCAAAGCAACTCATGCTGTCACAATAGTTTTGGAAATGGCAATCATCACTATCAATAATATTGGATTCGAACCAACAGCAACTGGAACTTGGCATCAAAGGGACACAACTCTAGACATAGCACCCACTCCCCCTGCTGAGACAGAGGAGTCATCTTTCACAAGGTTACACTTTTGTTATACAATTTGTTTGTGACATATGCTGTTTGAAAATGCACTCAGCAGCAATGTTCCAACTATATGTTAATGGTATGACCAGACAATCCAGTGATTTAACATCACACATGTCCATCTGCACACTTGGGATAACATGACATCCATCACATAAGTCAGTGATCCTGGCCACGCAATATAGTTAGTGGCCTTTTACGACAACCATTGGTAGCTTGTGAGCAATTCTGACCCAAATCAAAAATATTTTACTCAGTAGTGAGTGAGTATGATCTTTAAGCAATATTCCAGCAATATCACGGCAGGGGTCACCAGAAATGGGCTTTACACATGGTACCCATGTGGGGAACTGAACCCGGGTCTTCGGTGTGACGAACGAACCCTTTAACCACAAGACTGCACCACCACCCCATTTATTTACTCAGCAGGAGATGCTCATGATTTGTCTTTTGTTCAGAAGACACTGGCATGATCTGTCTGCAATAACAAAAGTGACAAAACAAAAATCATTTAAGAAACTATCTGAAAGTGAGCAAGGCAAGCAAACACCACAGATTGGACTCTTGTAAAAAAGGGAGATAATTCAGTGTATGTCCTTACCTCAACAGCTTCTGGGAGTTTCTTGAGAACTGCCAGAGACTCTATGAGGATGGAGATGAACCTCGGCAGGTTCTCCTCAGGGCTGGAACTCAGATCTTCCTTCACTTCACTCAGGAGACGGCCATCTTCAGATTCCCCATCTCCTACACATCAGGTCATTAGATGTATTGAAAACTTTCAGATTTAGCCTATCACACACAGTTTAACAACAATTTTGTAGTGTCATTGATGCATGCCGTTTCCAGCTGGATGAAGGAAGAATCTTGACTAGTTGTTTTAAATAGAGCATAATAAATTTAGCATAAGATGTAAAATTGTTTAACAAATTCAAAATTTTCAAAGTCCAACAGTTTTATTGTAACATTTTGTAAAAATCGCATAGTCCATTATCAATGTACCACAGTTTTAAACAGAAAGAGAAACAGAGTTGCGAGACTATTTCCTACTAATTCTGTTGTGTGTATAGTTGTGAGGTTTGTAACTCTGTCAAATTATTAACCATCATTATCATTAATTTACTGGTACCAACAAATTCTTATGACCACAGATCACTATATTTAGCACAGATCATTTACTGAAAGCTACACTGACTGACTGAGTTTGGTTTTACGCCGCTTTTAGCAATATTCCAGCAATATCACGGCGGGGGACACCAGAAATGGGCTTCACTCATTGTACCCATGTGGGGATTCGAACCCGGGTCTTCGGCGTGACGAGCCAACGCTTTAACCACTGAAAGCTACAACATACTTGAAAACACGGAGGACTTGAGAAACAGTAAATCTTTCTGTCCCCGCCTCCAAGAACCACGTCGTCCCAGACTTCTAGAAACAGCGGACTTCTCGTATATCTGTCTGTTCAGCTCCTCTATCAACACCTCATGTAGACGCTGAATAAAACACATGCCATGAAAATACAGTGGATCCTGGTACTGCCAAGGTGCGTAACTCTTTACTGCCCATTGCTTTGACTCAAATCTATTGTGCTACCCATGTCTGACTGGTGGAAAAGAAGGGAGACAACTACCCTCAGACATTATACCTCAATGCTCCAGCTTCTCCAGTAATAGTGGCTAGTAGTGATGGGTATTGACTTGACTTTTGTACTGCAGTGTATTGGAACGGTTCATGCACTGAGATATATTCCACAATAAATAGCATGCATTCTTTCATGTGTAATTTGATTTTCTGATGATGTTTTCAAAAACAGACCCCTTCTTTCTCCTCACAATGATTTTAAACTCCATAGTACATGTAGTCAACCATCTTGTTGGATGTTCGTGCAGTTACAAAACAACTGTAATACACACATTATATACAAATGTACAGGAAACTGGTCACCAATAATTTTACATTTTTATCACAGGAATCAATTGATTATATCTGAATTCTTTTGCTTGTCTCCTTCCTCTTGCGAACACAGTGGAACACTTGTATCTCCCCTAATTGAAGCCCCTTCAATGTAAAATCACTAATTAGTACACCACGAGTTACCTCCCTTCCAACAAGCCCAGCGGGGGCAGAGCCACCCTCTACCCATGTGCCTCACTCTCTCCTCATATACTGAGCCCAACATTTTGAATTTACAGGGAAATCCAAAGTGTTATTTGGGGGAGGATGGGAGGCTGACCTCATGAGTCAGGATAAGTATAAAATATCAATTTTACTCAAAAAATTACATATTTTTTCCTTATCCTGACTCATCTGCTCTTGCTTGTAGAATCCAACAGAGCGGAGGTGGGAATATATAATACTTTGGATTTTAATAATTAGTGATTTGAACTGTGATGATTGTAATAACCCTATGAGAACTTCATAAAGGCATTGAACTGATGAATTCCTGCTGCCAGCTTATCAGCTGCCATATAGAGGTTATTACAATGTACTTATTATGATAAAGTATATATAATATTAATACAATGCTTAAGACTAATAGACTTAAGCTTGTTAATATGCTAGTATAAACTCCTTAGAGTTTGTTAGCTAAAAATACTTTAAGATATAAACATAGCACTAAGCTTAAAATATGATTAATTTTAAGCTAATTATATAATAACAAACCTCTTTAGGGTTTGTTAGTTAAAATATTTATATGATATAGACAGTGCTGAGCTTAAGATATGAATAAGCTTAGCTATATATATAACAACAAACTTTGTAGAGTTTGTTAGCTAATATTTTTTACAATATGAGTATAGTATTGTGCTTAAGATATAATTATCTTAAGCTACATATATAATAGCCAAACTTAGTAGAGTTTGTTAGCTAATATATTTTTTACAATATGAGTATAATACTGTGCTTAAGATATAATTAACTTAAGCTACATATATAATAGCCAAACTTAGTATAGTTTGTTAGCTAATATATTTTTACAATATGAGTATAGTACTGTGCTTAAGATATAATTAACTTAAGCTACATATATAATAGCCAAACTTAGTAAAGTTGTTGGCTAATATATTTTTTTACAATATGAGTATAGTACTGTGCTTAAGATATAATTAACTTAAGCTACATATATATAATAGCCAAACTTAGTAAAGTTTGTTAGCTAATATATTTTACAATATGAGTATAGTACTGTGCTTAAGATATAATTAACTTAAGCTACATATACAATAGCCAAAAACTCTGTAGAGCTTATTAGCTAATAGATTTATAATGTAACCATAGTACTAAGCTTAAGATATGATTAGACTTAAGCTAAATGTATATAGCAAAAAACTCCTTAGAGTTTATTAACTAATATACTTTTATGTTATAAACATAGTACTGAGCTTAAGATATGATTAAACTTAAGCTATATATATATAATAGTAAAACTCAGTAGAGTTTGATAGCTAATACATTTTATTATGTTGATTTAGACCTAGTATTGAGCTTAAGATATGAAGTAAACCTTAAGCTAAATATATAATAGCAAAAAACCTTTTAGAGTTTTAATAGCTAATATACTTATATGGTATCAACATAGTATTGAGCTTAAGATATGAAGAAACCTTAAGCTACATATGTATAGCAAAACCCTCCGTAGAGTTTGTTAGCTAATACATGATATAATGTAACCATAAAAGCTTAAAATATGATGAAAACTTAAGCCCAATATATAATAGCAAAAAACTCTTTTAGAGTTTTGATAGCTAATATACCTATATGCTATAAACATAGTACTGGCGCTTAAGATATGAATAAGCTTAAGTTACATATATAATAGCAAAAACTCCATAGAGTTTGTTAGCTAATACATGTTATAATGTAACCATATTGCTTAAGATATGATGAAACTTAAGCCAAATAGCAAAAGCTCTTTAGAGTTTGTTAGCTAATATAGTTATATGATATAAACATAGTACTGAGCTTAAGATATGAATGAGCTTAAGCTACCTATATAATAGCAAAACTCCGTTAGAGTTTGTTAGCTAATGTATTTTTACAATATGAGTATAGTACTATGCTTAAAATATATACTTGACTTAAGCTCATTATATAATAGCCAAAAACTCTGTAGAGTTTGTTAGCTAATGCATTTATCATGTAACCACTGTGATGATAAAAACGAGCTTAAGCAAATTATATATAGCATGAAGCTATTTAGTACTGTTATAAGATAAGTAAAATCTGTAAGATTGACTTATCTTCTCCGAGGAACTGTCAACTGTTGTGCAAGGACCATGGGATCAATTGGTGGATACCTGAGATGTCCTCGGTGGTGATATCTCTCAGATAATGGTTGGCAACCACCATATCGGATCTACAGTAATAAACCCTCCATTATTTCAAATAACATTTGTGTAGATGAAATTGTAGAAGTTAGGGCTCTAATATCAAGAGTATTAAAAGCTCATGGAGGGTCGGATTAGGTCCATCTGTCTTGTATGCAACGTAGTATGACAGTTCTGATCCAAACGGAGATATAGTGCGATGAGACTACACTCTGCGTAAGTTGATGATAGAGGAAAAAAAATCTGTTGTATTTTTTCTTCCTGTTTGGTTTGGTGGAGATAAATTTACAGTGCTCTTGCTGGCCAGCGTGATAGCATCATCGTATCATGGAGTCCAAGTATGTCATCCAGGCATGTTCATAAACCTCACTTGTGAGGTGTTGTAGCACTATATTCATATCCCCAAGTTGGTAATGAAACTTCCGTTTATTCTCCAAACAGAAACTTAGTAGGTTTACTAACCATCTAGTTGTGTTAGTAGCTTGATGATGAAATTCAGGTGTAGTCTGAAACGCTGTGGATTTCGATCCACTTGTATCACGTCGTCGTCTAGGTAAATGCGTTGCGATGTCCTTGGCGATGTATGTGCACAACCGGGAGTTTGTGTCCTCGATGAACTTTATGTAAAATCGCCTGACTGCTGTGCCCTTGTCTAAACTTGACAGGGGAGGTCTCTAACCTGAAGAAAGCAGCCTAATCATGAAGGTTCAGGTTAACTGGGCTGTAAGGAGGCTTGCTCGTTCATTGATATAAAAGTTGTCACTTGCAACCTATGTCTTGAACTGTGAACTATGCTCGACCTCTGTGTAGGGCGTTGTTCATCGGGGTCCAATCAGAATAAGGCATTTTGATTCTGTAGAGTACCCGCGCTGTGATGTCACCGGTGTAGCAGGAAAAGGAACCTTGTATAATATAATGTCTAGATTCTGTGCTACCGCAGCAATCGGGTCGATCGGAGGTAAGGTGATAGCATCTGCGTCGTCTTCCTTCATCAGGTATGTCTGCGTCGTACTGCCACTCTAGGAAGGTGATGTAGACTTGTGTGCAGACTTGTGTGGTAACCTGTGAGGCGATCGATGTGGTGATGTACGAGGAGATCGGAGACTATTGACAGCTTCGCGAAGCTCTTGAGTAGTCCCTTGACTCTGTTAAATGACGATCTATATTCGTGTCCTTCCCGAGTGCCTTCGCGAATGCCTTCAAAGCAGCCTTCACTTAAACGCCAACGAACGCCTTTCTCACAAGCTTCCTCTGCGTTCGGTGGGGAACGGCGATTTGAGCTTCGGCTTCCGTGAGGTCTGGTGGCTGAGTCTGCATCTAAGGATGAAGCCGAGGAATGTGATGATCTATCCCGCCGCCGAAGGCCTTCGCGAAGCTGTACATCTGGGTCCTTCGTCAAGGTGGTCTGCGACTTCCTTCGCTGAAGGCTGCATCGTCTTGGCTGCTACGTTGACTGGAGGTGCCTCTAGAGTGTTGTCTAAGTTGGAGCCTTCGCGAAGGCTGCATACTCTGGGCTGGCTGCTTCTCCAGTCTGTAGTGACCCTCCATCACGACCATGATTTGCCGTAGTAGCTTCGTCTGGGATGGTCTGCGGCGTAAGTAGTCGGTGCCATCTCTGCTGTTAGTGGTGGGGCCCTCAGGTAAGTCGCCTGACATCAGTGTAGAGACATCAGGCTGCATGACGATCTCTGCTGATGTCATTGTAGCTGTCACCGGTCGCTACTTGTCTCATACGTCGAGGATGATGATCGGCTGATCATCGTAGAGGCCAAGTTCAGCGGCTGGAACAATCTCGGTTGAGAAAGTCCTAGTAGACTTACGTTGAATTCCCCTCAGAGGTCGGCGCTGCCCTGGGGAGTGCGAAGTCTGCGTTGAGTGTTGGTAGCGACGGGACCCTCAGGAAGATCATCGAATGTTGATCTGCGCTGACATCACTGTTGCCCGACATCAGTCATTCTTTGATGTACATCAGGAATGATGATCGGCTGATCATCATACAGGCCCAAATCTGCGATGAGAACAATCTCGGCTGAGAAAGTTCTAGTAGACTTCCGTTGAATACCCTCAGTGCGCGCGAAGGGATGTCTGGGAAGCAGGGCGCTTCTTGGAGGCGGCGGACTACGTCCACGCCTCTCCACCATTCTAGCGGAAACCCAGACGGGGAGGGGGTCGACCCAACAGCAGTAGACTGGCGAGGGGTTCAGGTGTATCAGTCATGCTAGACTCTGCATACGTGACCTATCTGCTGCTGCGTCTCAAACGCAGTAATTATTTATTAAAGGTAGAATTGGATAAATTAGTATCGCGAACTGCAACGTGAATCACATGAAACATGGCAGTACAGCTAGGGCATATTAAATGCGGATCAGTAGCAGAATAAAAACGTAATGTGCAACAGTACAGAATTTTTATCAACGTAATCCACTGCAACAGCACGTCCCCGTGCATAAACAGTAGAAACACGACTAAATATCAATATATAATTGTTGAAAGATACTAGCTAAACCTCTATAGATCTCTATACGAGGTAACTAACTAAATATAATCAAAGGATATAGTGTGTCGGGAGACACAAGAAGCTCTCACGATCCAGCTCACTGGGCGAAGAAGGAGAGTGAGGCACATGGGTTCATCACTTCTTTTTGAATTGTCACTTATGAAAACCTTTTTGAAAAGATTTTTGTATAAATAATTCTCCTTAAAATGCTGTTTTAGGTGACTCTTAATTTGTATGTTGTCATGCATGTGCTGTCACAAGGGTGTAACATGTTGCATACATTCATCATACACGACTTATTAATTGTGATATCCATTTTTTGTGCATTATTCACTGCAGTAGAAATCATGAATGTGTAATCAGTGTAAATAAAGATCTGTAAAGACATCCATTAGGGCTGGGTATTGCAGAGAATTTTCATATTGCAATATATTGCGATGCGAAAGCATATATTGCGATATGTATTGCAATATATTGCAAGAAGTTCTTTTTTAACATAAAACTACTTATAATCGAGTTAATGCTTGATTTATAAAGCAAAAACACAACAAAATCACCATGCTTGATTAAGCTTTAATAAAAACTTTTAATCATGACAAAATAAAAATGTAAATAATATTTGGCACAAATAAAAGGAAAGGAACAATTTATAAAACGGAAATATCCGAAGATTTCCGAGTGTTACGAAGTCTTTTCGAATGCATGTCAAAATACCGGTTTTCAATCAGCGTATCGCAATACGTATCGTTTTCATGTCTGAACCGGTATATACCGGAAAACCGGTTATATTGCGCAGCCCTAACATACATGTATGCAAGTTGAAAAGCATACATTGGGTAATTTGTGCTGTTATGTCCCATCCATACTTGTACCTAATAATCCAAAACATATTGGTAACGGTGACATATTTTATGTTTACATATAGTATCAGGAACTCTACAATGTCTCACCTCCTTCCTGGCTGTCAGTTCTGATCTCAAGTCCCGTAACGCCTCAACCGTTGACAGGCTGGTCTCCAACTTGGCCACTGATAAATACAGCAATACAACAGCAGTGAATATGTCCAAACTGGGCATTTTTTATTACTTAATTCTTTTTCAGACTATTTACTTACAGATTTAATACTCCCATACTCTGCACAACAAATTGCTGTACCTTAGTAGACTGCGTCATCCAAAGTGAAACCAAAGGGCCCAGGTATTGCTCAGCATATTCTGGGGCCTTAGCCACTTGTTTGTTTTTAAGTTCAACTACTATCAAAGACATATGTTTCTACCTGACTGAACAATGAGGTCTGTGGCATGCAGGTAGTGTTTTCCTGACAGGTAGTTGTCCATCTTGTCTGGAACCTCCTTCATCTGCTCACTGTCAAAACGGTCAACAACATTAATTGCTTTTTTAAAGCTGGAAACAGATGAAACAGTTACAGATCAAAAGAAGAACGAGAAATGGACAGTGTGAGGACAAGTTCTAAAAATTTCCAGTTCAATGGTTTCTTATTATTAGATTACCATTTCATGTCAAGTTTATAGTCAAATGTTTATGCATCAAAAGATCTGACAGTATTAAGCAAAAGATCTAATTTTAATGAGACTGGTTGAAGAGAGGGCCATCATCTCCTTCAATTCGTACATGTCAACAATCACCACCATTGAAGTTTTCATTGTCCTCAGAACAATTTAATAGCCTCGGGCAGCTGACTAGCATGGATTCGACTATTAAGCCACCAGTCATACCTTGAATATGCTTTTTCACAAAGAGTTTGGTTACCATAGTTAACATGAATGCTTACATTTGGTCCAGCATGGCCAGAACAGCTTTGTGTTCGACGCCATCTCGCCACAGTTTCCGTAGCTCATCTCGCTTGAAGTGGAGCAGAGTTTTGCAAGAGTTGAGGTCATCTTTAATCTTATGGATCTTCTCTCGAGACTCTGGAAGTTGAATTAGGTGTCATATCACTGTAGTTGGTGTATCACAAAGTAATTCTTAGTATGAACTTTTCCGCTATCATCATTATGTTAAGATTCATTTATGCAAGAATAATCCTCCTTTTAGTCAGCTCTTAAGTTTTGTTTGTTTTTAAATTCTGGACTGAGCAATATTCCAGCTATATGATGGAGTACTGTAAATAATCAAGTCTGGACCAGTCAATCCACTGATTGACATCATGAGCATTTATCTACACAATCATATATGTGTCAACATTATATATGTGTCAACCAAGTCAGCGAACCTGACCACCCAATCCAGTTAGTCGCCACTTATGACAAGCATGGATCACTGAAGATCAATTCTAACCCGGATCTTCACGGATAGTAATCAAGTAAGACAAGGATTGAGTGAGTGAGCGAGTAAGTATAGTTTTATGCTGCACTCAGCAATATTACAGCTATATGGCGGCATTCTGTAAATAATCGAGTCTGGACCAAACAATCAACTGATTATCCAGTGATCAACAGCATGATCATCGATCTACACAATTGATATATGATGACATGTGTCACTGTCAACCAAGTCAGCGAGTCTGACCACCCAATCTCATTAGTCGCCTTTTACAACAAGCATGGGTTACTGAAGATCAGTTCTAACCCGCATCTTCAGACAAGGATTGGAAGCTAGATCACTGTTCTACCCCTTAATCCCCCTGGATGTGTGTACATGGACATACCATTAGTCCGATTAATTGAAACAATCGAAGATTGGTCGCAGTGCTCTAAACGACCAAGCAATCGATTGTGTTTTCTCGTAATCGAACACAACCAATTTTGGAACACTTGTTTGCATCAACAATATTTTACACAAGGTTGGTTTTGTCTGTGTCATTAAATTTACATTTCATAAGCACTACAAGCTCATTCCAAGTCATGATTGAATTTATCTTAAGTAATCCAGGAAATATGTGTTCCTAACATACTAATCATCCTTTAAATATGCGAAATTTGCCAATGGATTTTGTGCAATTTGCAAAAAAAACAAATTACTACATGTTTTTTCTTTATTTTGTGTGTGTGCATTAACAAAGATAACAGGAACATTTGATAAATGATGCTAACCAATTATTTTCGATGATTGATCGGTTGTAATGAACCAAACATCAATTATGAGATTTTAACCAATTCCCAACACTACATACCATTAATACTTTTGGTCATAGCACTGAAAGCAGTCATGACCTTGATGATGTCATCGTAATGATCTGAAAACAAAACATGCAATATACCCAATCATATTTTTAACATTATCTAACACAGTCAAACAAAAATTATTGATATGAAGAGTTGAACATACAGATGCCTAAGGTTGATATGTACATCATATAACACGAACATTGAAGTGGGTGTCAAGTATTTACTGAAATATAACACATCCTTTTGGTATAGGGCATGCAGAAACTGTGATCATTGGTTTGTATTTCGCATCATCCTGATTATGACTGACTGACTGACTGACTTTGGTTTTACACCGCTTTTAGCAATATTCCAGCAACATCACGGTGGGGGACACCAGAAATGGGCTTCACACATTGTGCCCATGTGGGGATTCAAACCCGGTCTTCGGCGTGACGAGCCAACACTTTAACCATTAGGCTACCCCACCATCCCTCCTGATTATGAGTCTTTGTTTGTCAGCACCGACATGTACTGGTTGGTTTCATCTTTTCACCCACATTAAGCTCAATTTAACTGGTATATACTGTTTGAAAGGGCAATAAACCACACTCATTCATTCACTCCTTTTGGAATGGATTCTTATACCTTCACTATATTAAATAATACCACTTAATCACTTGTTTTCTGTAGGGGTATAATCTGGGCAAGGGGGGTATACTATGGCCTAGTTCAGAATATACCCCGGGGTATAAATTAGGCTAGCCCAGATTATACCTGGGGTATAGTCTGGGCTAGCCCAGTTTAACCCCGGGTATAGTCTGGGACAGGGGTATACTCTGGCCTGTTACACCGGTAACCATCATATTACCAACATGAGCGTTATTCTGTAGAGAAATGGATCTTTTGTTAACAGGGTAAAAATACAAGCAAAGATATTGTGTAATTATGAATGATTTTTTTAAATACAACCATACGATGACATCTGATAAACATGACTAACTAAAGCATGGCATTATGATTGGGAGCTCAAGCAAGATTATCTGTTCTATTTTTTAAATCTTACTTGTGACATGTTCAGAGAGCCTCTTGTCACTTTCTCGATAGGCTTTCTCTATCCGAGTTTTCTCCTTTTCTCGTTGCTCAAAGTCTGCACTGTAACCATAGATATGTACATAATTTATGAACTGTTTCTTCTCAACATCTAGTCAAATCGTGAAGGATTAACTTCAAAATCAGGTGTACCTTCAGAGGCTGTTTTCTGTGTGAAGCACAATGAAATGAGTGGCATTTTGCTGTGGGGCAGTTTTCATATGCACCCATCACTTGCTGTTACTTGTAAAAACATATTAATAAAAAATTATCATTCACTGCTTAATTAATATTCTTCATGTTACATGTATAAATCAAATCATCTGTGACATTATGCCATATATATGCATTTTGTTTCCCAAATAAATATTTCCATTCAACAAGCATTTTAAGTGAACAGTGGCCATCCAGTATCAAATACTAGTTAGAGGAATTGTTTGCCATTGGAAAATACATATTTACAACTGCGTTAGGGTTGTGTCAAGGTTCGGGTAGGTTACCCACAACCCTGTCCTTACACATTGGATCCTCTAGTGGTTTACTGTGCACGTAACACTCGCTAGATTAGAATTTATATAGTTGTCCACAATAGCTCAATAAATGATAAATCTCGTTGACAATTGTAATGTACATACCTTGATGATAAAGTCCTGACAATGGACATCAAAAAGCCAGACTGAAAGAAAATATTCATTCGATCAACATCCACAGTTCCCAATATCATTACACATTTTGTGAAATAAATGTAATTATGCATTCGTAATTTTATGGGAAGGAAGAAATCATGTTTTGCATCTAACAGGTGCGTGTTACTTCGTGATACTGATAGTCAGAAATTGAATGTTTGCACATGCTTTACAATATGCAATACACATACAATTACTCATAATAGCAATTTCTAGTGAAAGCATCAAACTCGACATAGTATCGTTTCTTAATGTAATGCAAAACACAAATACGAGATAGGCTGTCCAACCTTATTAGAAGGAGGCGTCCTGTCATCCGCCATCTTGCTTCCGTGTAATATTTCCCTAACGACTAATAAAGACTGGCAGCTAAGTACTACTTGCCACCACAAAACATTATTGTACAACTAATAATATCATTCACAACCACACGGATGCAGTGGACTTCAAACATCATTCTTGAACGTCTGATAGTTCTAATTCAGTATTCACTTCACTAAACAAATTCTTTTCATGTCAATGAATGTATTATTAGAAGCTAACCTATGGATACACGTGTATTGTACCTCAAAAGCGTTTGATCACACAAGCTTCAAGTTGTAAGATATATCAGTGTATGAAATAAGGCCCGTCCGACCGCCCAAGACGGGCTAGATTTCTGACGGACGGTCTAAATTTACAGCTAGCCAGCCCGATGGTCTGGTAATTTTTTAGATGTTCCATACATCTAAGCAGAGACCATATAATAGATGATCTCTGATCTAAGTAAATTCACCATATTTGGTCTGGTTAAATCCAGTTTGGGCTTGTAACATTTTGAAGTTACCAGCCCTGATGTCTGCCTGGATTTTTGGCTTATTTGACACACTGGATATATTACCATCGAACCTTGAATAAACGTAATCAGGAAATAGCATTAAGTAATACAAGTGTTGTACTGTGTAAGACATCTCGATTACCTCGTTAGGATGAGAAAGCCACAATAACTCGGTGCGCCTAGTGGCTGCAAGAGTTGTATACTCCCCAGGGAGTTGAGATTGATAATGCCATGTGCCGTTGAGATTGACATCCAGTGATCGAGGGAAAAAATACCAGCGCCTTGAGCATGCACTAGTAGCTTGGATATGTGCGCTATATAAATATCCTATAATAAAATAATAATAATAATAATAATAATAATAAATAATAAAAATTACACTAAAATAAATCTTTTATAAGTCTTTTCACCTAACTTTGATTATCGCATCTCTGATACCACCCCAAAACCACCACCGCCAAGCACTGCCAATTTTGATCGTTTGCAAAAGTTTGCGTTTGTGAGAAAAAAACACGTTATACATTGTAAAGACGAAAGGAACTGAGTCAGTTACGTGTGTATTTTCACAGGTTAAAATTATTAGTGTACTTCAAAAGGGGCTTTCCCCTGTGCCTAGAAGATCCATGGGTTGGCCTATTCACAGGACAGGTGATCATGAATAATTCTTTGCACGAAGTGCCAGTACGATAACCTTATAAGCTTAATCCGTTCAATTGATCTTGTTTTCACTGATATATCTTGTGAGCAGTATGAGTGGTCATGTTACTCATATCATATCGTATACGTGCCGTTTGAATTCCAAATGCACCTTCACAACTGGTACTGATGACAATTAGTTATACCGATACTAATTATTCTACAACACTGACTACGACAAAATATTACCACAACAACGAAAACATCTACAACATGGCAAGCGCAGTAACTACTACTCCTATTACTGCTGCTGCTGCTACTACTACTAAGTACTACGTCTTCTACTGCTGCTGCTGCATATAAAGTGTCATGCAATAACTTCAGTACACGTATGGTTTTACGCAATATCATGCACAACACGAAAAATGACAGCCAGTATCATGTTTTGGGTTTTTTTTCGACATTGATTCAGTGACTTCTTTGAGTGGCATTTTAGAAGTTGGGAAGTACAATATAGAACAAACTTTATGGATAACAACTTCTTTTTATTCGTGAGTGCGACGTTTCGATACAGATTCTTGTACCGTTGTCAAGCATAATGAGACATGAAGAAGGGGGAAGTATCCATGTGTTGGCCTATTCACAGGACAGGACTTCCCCCTTCTTCATGTCTCATTATGCTTGACAACGGTACAAGAATCTGTATCGAAACGTCGCACTCAAGAATACAAAGAAGTTGTTATCCCCAAGAGAAGGGGGAAGTATCCATGGGTTGGCCTATTCACAGGACAGGGCTTCCCCCTTCTTCATGTCTCATTATGCTTGACAACGGTACAAGAATCTGTATCGAAACGCCGCACTCACGAATAAAAATAAGTTGTTATCCATAAAGTTTGTTCTATATTGATTCAGTGGTTTGTTTCAGAGCGACTGATTGTGGTTTTACGCAGCTTTTAGCAATATTCCAGCAATATCACGGGGAACACCAGCAATGTGATTCACACATTGTACCATGTGGGGAATCGAACCCGCGTCTTCGGCATGACGAGCTAACACTTTATCAACTAGGCTACCCTACCGACCAGGGTTGTTGAGAAGCGGAGTGTCTTTGTTTTAATGCTGTTTTTAACACTGTATATCAGTTGTTTACGATGCATGTGTCGACCTAATGTGAGATGGAAGCATGAAGTAAAGCGCGTCTTATGCGTTTAGCACTTTGCTCGAGTATGATGTTGGCATACCAAGACATCTTAAATATCTCCGAATCCACGTTCCAAGTTTCTGGTGTGCAGAAGGGAGACAACTCTACAGGGCGCATTGTCCGCCACAGCGAGGATAGCCGTGGCATGACTTAACGCATTAAAAGGATCTCTATACAATATCATTATGACTTTTTCTAAGTGTTACTTTTTGGGGCAATATATAGCAAACAGTGAAGTGACCATGTATTTGGTCGTGTGTTGGTTGACACATATCTTATCGTATCCCAATTGCGTAGATCGATGCTCATGATGTCAATCACGGGATTGTGTTGTACAGACTCGATTGTATACAGAGCTGAGAAATGCTGAGCGAGGCTTTAAACAACAAACAAATCAAATATAGTATCTCGCCCGGCGCCGCACAGTTGTGTTTCTTTCTGTATATCACCCGTTTTGCGAACTGCCATTTTAAGAACCGAATAGAAATCCATAGCGCGTGTAAGAAATCACGAAGCGTTTCAGATTCATTGCATTGGTCTTAGAGACATGGGCGGTGGGGTAGCCTAGTGGTTCAAGTGTTAAATCGATTCCCCACATGGATACAATGTGTGAAGCCTATTTCTGGTGTCCCCCGACGTGATATTGCTGGTATGTTGCCTAAAGAGGCGTAAAACCATACTCACTCACTCACTCTTAGAAACATCCGAACCCAACGTGAAGACCCAGGTTTGACCAGATATTCAGTAACAAATGCGTGTTGTAAGAGGGATTAACTTGGTTGACGCATGTCATCGTATCCCATTTGAATAAATTGATGCCAGCCCCGAATATTTACAGACACTCACATCGCTGAAACATTAACCAACCAACAAACAAACGAGACATCGTGGAAAACGTGTCATGGATATAGATTTCAGTCCAGATGTCCTTCAATGTTTTTGGTTTTTTGTTGTTTCTGTGACTCTCCGTATTCCTTTAAGAGGAGGAATATTTCCAGTGAATGTTTTCACTCCTTATTACTCCAATGCCATCGATCATGCAAACGAGAAATGCGTGCATTTATCTTCCACAGTGTTATAACAATAAAAATAACAAACAAATTATACATAATAACACAATAATTTTATAGTTGATCGAATTATACCACAAGAACGTGAACAATACCAACACTATCGCTGGAACCATTAATAGTCCAAGCAAGACTGCTTCAAGAAAGACAGTTTTAAACCAATTTGTCTTCCTAGTTTTACATGCAACGCGCACAGATGACTCAGTTGTCAAATCACCGCAGTTCGATGTGCAGAGATGCGTCGATTTGGCACGCCTCAAATCTATGGTTGCTGGCTTGAACCCCGGTACGCCACGAACCAGTTTCCTGGTTTGCCAGTACCATACCCGTGCTCTTCGGTTTAATTGAAGTCTTAAACGTCCGAGGCTTGCATGACTTCTGACTTTGCCCCCACAATAAGCTGGCACATATAAATTACAGTTAAAACGGCGTTAAACAAAACTCATTCATTACATGCAATTTTACAATAATTTTACATAACATCTAGTAATTAATTAGATGTAGTGTCTCGGTATCACAGAATTGACCGTGTTGTGCATCGTGGTATCTCTTTAACACCGGTTGTAACAGTATTTCAGTTAACTGACGACGATGCAGCTTCATACGTAGAAAGAGATGTTGGTCCCCGTCCCACAAAGCGATCGTAGCGCTATGCACAGGCAAACTGTAGCGCAAATAGGGGTGCGCAACAAAGAGAAAATTACCAGTTCGCTCGCATTTGGGAAGACTGGTAATTTTCTCTTTGTTGCGCACCCCTATTTGCGCTACAATTTGCCTGTGGTTTAACAGACTTGGGAGAGTCGTAGCGCTACAATCGTTTTGTGAAACGGGACCCATGTCTTAGACGTTTATCCTATTGGTAAAACCACCAAATATAGTGCGGACAGACCAAGTACCTCATAGTCTTTTCAAGACCGGAAAGATTCATTTGGAAAATCCGGGTTAGAATTGGTCTTCACCAACCCATGCTTGTCGTAAAAGGCGACTAACGGGATCGGGTGGTCAGGCTCACTGACTAGGTTGACACATGTCATCGTATCTCAGTTGCGTAGATTCGATGCTTGTGATGTTGATCACTAAATTGTCTGGTCCAGACTCGATTATAAACAGACCGCCACCATATAGCTGGAATATTGCTGAGTGCGACGTTAAACAACTAACAAACACTAGGAGAATCTATAGGACCAGCACTGTCTACATTTGACGTTTCTGGGGAACTGGATTTTCTTCAACGTCCATGAAGGAAACAATGGACGGCAAAGAATCTTTGTACTTGTCGAGCAGACCAACAGCCTTCGCTAAGGCATCATCCGCATCGACGGCTAGTACGGTATTCTCGAGATCTCTCGTCCAAGTCTCGTGGTAACTCGACAACTTCCGGTACGGAGTGTCAATCAGTACGTGGGGTATGTTCATCAAAACACAGAATATATGCCCATGAAGTCTATCTGTTATAACAACTCGGCCTCTCTGTAAGAATATCATCCCATTTGTCTGCATGAGAAATGAGTCTTCCATTGTCGTCTTTCCTTTGGGTGTTTCCCATTTCGCCCACGCTTCAACCCTTACAGTTATGCCTTTCGGCCATTTTGTTACGTTTTGTTTCGGTGCCT